AAAAATCACCCAAAAACATGCCTTACCTTCTCGAAAAAATGCAAACAGTCCAGAAATGCCTTGAAATGCAAGTTTATGTCCCACAACATGCTGCCAAGTGAATAATGTGCACTCCTAAATGCTCTAAACATACATAACAGAAAAACAATTTTTTACTATGTGACCGCATGACGCGCAAAACTAAGATTTTAATAAATAATTTCAAGGTTTTTTTCTAAAAGATTTCTAAAAAGCTGTAATTTGATGAGATACACAGAAAAGTAAAAGTTAAAAAAAATTTCACCACCTGATTACATCGCACCCAAAATAAAGATTATAACAAATATTTAAAAAAATATATTTTCAAAAAAAAGTTCATCATATTTTTTCACATGCAAAATTAAGGTTTTTTTTCTCTAAACAAATTTAAAACAAAGTCTCAATGTGCTCAATAATTGATGAGAAACATGCAGAAAAGATAAAAATGTTTTTTCTTTAAATTCCATTATATTTCTCCCTAATCTTAACCATAAAACGGACATACTATATCTCTGCATGTTTATTAATTTTTATATAAAAGCTGTGGTGGATTAAACAAAGCAGGTGATTTGTGTTTAATATAAATCAGAAGAATATGCAAATATATTAAAATATATTTCAAAATTGAATCAGATGGTTCAATATTTTTCAGTGGGTTATTGTGCATCATGTAAACAGATAATTATTGATAATCTGGATTTATAATAATCCCATAAATTGACTGAGGCCTCAGCCATTCCTACCTTGTCAGGGCTATGATATCCTGTTTTCTGAAGAGCCAGAATCGCTGTGCGTAAAGGGTATCCATTTTCTGTGATGGTTTCAAGGAGCTCCCTCTCCTCCTGGCTCAGAGCTGACAGCAACTCTGCTGTGGAGTCAAAATAAACACCCTTGGAGCCACTGGTCCTCAGAACCTGACAATGAAGAAAGGACAGAAATGGCAGCATGTGTTTTGAAATATAACATCCATTTGTTGTAGACACAGAGCAGGAGAATTTACCTGTCTGTGCGTCCTTGTCATGGGTCCAGCAGAGGAGGGTCGTTGCCGCTGCGGTCTAGGGGGAGATGCTGCAGCAATGGTGTTTGGGAAGAACCTTTTCCCCACACTGACCACAGAACTTGGCCTCTTCTTTCTGTTCTTTTGGCCCTGGGGTAAGGGGCTCTTTTGTTGAGACCTTTGTTTCTCTAGTACTCGCGTGGACAGTTTGTCTTCGTGTACGGATGCCAAAGTGACTCTATGTACTTGAGTTGTTTGGGGTGAAGTAGATTTACAGCAGCCTGTAGAAGAATTCACATGCATGTCTTTACCTCTGGAGACTGGGTCTTTGGGCCTAGCACTCCTTGGGTGCTCCCTGCCCCTGGTACGATGTGGTGGGTCTTCAGCAGATGAGTACTCATTATCTCCATAGTCACCATCTTCATCCTCTGAGTCAGGGATCAGGAACTTTACAGTGCGACGGTGCAGCCGACAAGTGTCTGCAGAGCTCAGGCTGTGACTGCGGACCCTAAAGCTCGATGAACAGTGGTCACCACATCTGCTACTGCTCCTGTCACTCTGCTGACAGCTGCTGAACATCATCCAATAGGGGGGGCAAGATGGTGTCTGACAAACAGACTGCTGTCTGCTGCTTAAAATCCATTTCTCCAGGTTGAATTCATACTGTGAACAAAAGGCCAATAAAGTTAAGAAAAATGTTTGGGAACTTTCTTTTTCTCAAATAAAACCATCTGCAACAGCAGTCTAACACAATCTTTGTCCATATTAAAGTAGTATATGAACACAGTGATCTATAGTTAAGGATCAGATGAGTGCAGGTATTTTGGTTTTACACCCCCCGATGTTCATTACTGCAATAAGTCAAACCAGACCCTTAAACTGACGAAGAGATGGAGCAGGGACCACTTAGTACTTTATCTAAATACATACATACATACAAACATAGATACAAACATTGTATATGACTTAAAAATTTTAAAAACCACCGTCAGTACCTTCACATACACCCTAGACCAGGGCTGCCCAAGAAGTAGATCAGGATCAACCAATAGTTTCCAAAGTGAGTGCTGGTAGATCGTTAGCAATTCAAATAAGTGAGTATTAGTGACCATATACTGTTAAGACAGCGGTCCCCAACATTAATGTAGAACGTTTGGTCTCCAAGTGGCGAAGCAGTTTTGAAGGCTTCATTGCAAATCCATATTTTAAGTAGGACTCCGGGAATGTTCTGTCAGATGTCAGGCTTTCTTCTTCTTTGAAGACGTAGGCTCTTCTTCTTGTCTCCTCACTGACTCTTTTACTCTGCGCAAACGAACTTTCCAAAGACGTTTGTTTTTGTGACGCACGCTGACATGCATCAAGTGTGAGTCGTGGGCAGATGCGGCGGAGAGAATCCGGTAATTTTTCAAAATAAAACATCCTTCAGCATCAGATAATAAATAAAACGGAAATAATATAAGTTATGCGTTCTTTCTGTGCGACCCGGTACCAAGTGACCCACGGACCGGTCCGAAGCCGGAGATTGGGGACCACTGCTGTAAGAATGAAATCATATTGTGCCGTAAAGCTACATGAATTAATCAGTGACCCAACATATAAGATGAAAGTATGTCTAGTTTGTATGAATAAAATGTATTTAATATTTCAATGTAGGTAGATCACTTTAGCCTGGTCATTTGAATAGTTGCTCCCAAGCCAAAATGGTTTTGGCACCCTGGCCTAGAGGCTGCAAACCCCATGTTAAAGACCTCTGCCTTAGATCACAATATCAGCCAAGTTAAAATATTAAGAAAGATTTTTTAATACACCAGTTAGTCTGAATTATTAGAGTTATGTTAGAGTTATGCTGAGCTAAGTTTTGATCAGATCTCTGAGTTAGAATGAAAAATGATAGAAGTATTCCGACCTCAGTTTCTCGCAGAATAGGCTGGCAGTCTGGAACAGAGATGTTTGGAGCGGTCACCATTTTTACTTCCGCCTCCAGTGGACCCAGAGTGGTCTGAAAGGGAACGTCCTCCAGAATGTTCATGAAGCAATGTTGTTTTTGGGAATTAAAGATTTGACCCCCTCGTCTCCTGAACCAAATTCTTTGCTGCTTACCACTGAGCTGCACTGCCCTCCGACAACAAGCGAACAACTGCCGTTTAAAACGGAAACCATGAGTCATTCTAATCCTTAATTCTAATCCTTAATTCTAAGCCATGGCCTCTTCTGCAGTCTGAGCGTCACATGTCACATGACAGAAGTGTTTATGATACTGAGACTAGGATTTGACTCTGACCTCCATTATTAAAACTTCTTATACACCTGGTGGAACATTCCAGTCCAGGAACTGGCATTTTGGGGTTTTTTTCTCGTTGAGTTCCAGTATGGAATGTCATTTTTTGATATTACACAATTAAATGCTTCACACAAACTATACATCTGAGTTACAAATTATAAATCAAGATACATAGGGTGTCATTCCTCCATTTGGACTATAGTAGTGACAGTAAGTGCATTTACCTGTGCCTTGAGGAAATATTCAGTTTATCAGTAAGTGACAACACATGTTTTAAATACATTCTGCTTATATAAATGTAGTATGTGCACACCTGTTCTATATATTTCCTGAAGGATTAAAGCTTTAGCTCAAGGCTGTGCACATGGCTGTTTTTCTCATTATGATTATCGTGACCTGTGGGTTCAGCCTCCTCTGTATGGACAAATTCAAATACATTCTGACAGAGCACACATGCTAATCTGGGAGAATTTAGTACAGAGATACACCATTTATTTAAATTTTAAACAATAAACTTAAGAATTCACAAAGGCTCATTAACAGACCTACGAAACCAGAAAAGCATCTGTGAAGTACAAAAGAAAAGCTCTGTGGTGAAAGGAGCACAGATCTAGTTTAATCACATTGTACAGCACAAACGGCATCGAGAGTACAGCAGCACGGTTCAGTCAGAGAGCTCTTAAGCTGTCACGTGACTGAAGAGGTGAGGTGGCAGTTCATATGAAAGGATATGATGTCACTACAGGTGATGGGAGTTTTTGGAGGCAGGGGTTTTAAAGTGATGGGAGTTTTTGGAGGCAGGGGTTTAAAATTACTGTCAAAATTACAAAAAACTACAGCTTTGAGCTGTGACAGAGATGAAAAGTTCATCTGAAAATCTGGGTTTGTTCAATTTCAGTCACAAATTTACAAAATGTTAAAAATGAATTACTTAAAGATTCTATGAGGACTGCAGCGGTTCTGTAAAAGCGAACTTCGTTGAGGGGTAAACATGTAGATACAATTATTAGGCCCAAATTATTATTTCTCAGTGTTTACCAATGGGCATTTCAAAAGGACGATTCTTCTTTTCTAAACATACTAGACTAATTATTTTAAATTTGACTTTGGAATAAAATCCAAGGACACAATTATAAAACTCCGTATATGAAGCAGTATCCCAAACCAAACACAGGTTAACCTGACAATGCCACAGAGGTCAAACTCAGGGTTTTAGCCTCAAGAAGCTCCAAGAATTCCTAAAAGTAACATAAAAGTACAGAGGTAGAAAATGTGCAGATAACTGTGCAGATATTGAACAACTAAAACACGTCTGGTTATATCAGTAGAGTGCTGCAAAAAAATTGACTTTGAGATTGCAGACAAATCCATGTCAGACCAAAGTCTGCCTAAGACAACATGGATGAAGATACAGTAATTTATCCTGGAACATATTGTATGTTTTGATGAGTCATGGATGTTGACGTGTGGCAAACACTCAGAGAACCATTTCATCCAAAGAACACCACCCTCAAAGGGAAACACTTTACATGACCTGGGAATCAAATGAGGACTGCACTGGGGAAAATATCTAAATAAGAGGATTTTTTTTAAAAAGGCACCAGGAAGTCTGGAGCAGATCTGGGTCTTGGTCACTGTATGGGCTTTCAATGCAACAAAAAAACCCAACAGATCACAAGTGGTGCAGAACCACCTCCAGATGGACAAGCTGGATGTTTCAAACTGCCCCCGACTTTCATTTCTCAGGAGTGAATATATAGCCCTGGTCGAGGCATGGATGAGCTTTAAAGATGTACTAAAGCAGAATTGAGCAGGAAACTCCAGAAGGCTTTCCTGGTATTTTTTTAAAACACAAACAAGAAAGTATAAAGGTAATAATCCTGACCATTCTTATGAGTTTGGTAAAACATTATTGACTCTCTGTCTGCAAAGTTAAAAATAAATTAGTCTAGTATGTTCAGAAAGACAGTAAAGAAAAACCTTGCTCCATCTGAAAGCAACTGAGAAATATGTTCAACAAGTTAGGCTTTTATTGAGGGTCATCTTTTTTTTTTCAACTGTATATTCACTAAAGGGGGGGAGAAGTAAAAATTGCTGAAAAGTAACCATTCAGGCTGTTAAAAAAAAAATCATTATTCGGGTATCTGCTGTGTGCTGGTGCATTGCACTTCAAAAACAAAGTTCCCCTATTTTGAGGTCATCTCATACAAACTGCTTAAAAAGGCTACTCAAGCAGGTTAGCTTCACATTTACAGCTGACTTTTACTGTTAGCACCATTATTACAATGGTGGTAAAAGATGAAAACATCAAAATATTGATGTGCTTGTGGAATAGTATGCCCTCACTGACATAAGGCATCATCGACATGGTAAAATCACATCTACACTTTCTAAGTAGCCCATTTTTTGTGTACATTAATGTGATCCCATTGTTCCTTTTTGTCATTTGCTGTGTTTGTCATTCCAGTCCATCACCACATGAAGAAAAAAATAGCTACACATCATTTCATGAATAAAATATCATTATCTTTATATAGATAAAATGGTAACAATCCCCAGAGATTGAAATAGTTTATCAAGGTCCACCATTAGTGTGCACTACAAGAGACTTAACACTGGTGCACAGGACCAAACGTTGGTACATAGTTAGAACTTGTTCGTGATGAAAGAAATCCTAAGAGAACCAGCAACCTTCATTGCATCTGAACACCAACACAGCTTCAGAAAACCCACAGCTGGTTCCCAAGGATTCAGATTATTCTCATGATTTAGGGAGCTCTGGCTTTAGCTGAAATGAGTGACGTGTGGTTCAGTTGTTAGCAGCATCTGCCTGTCGAGGCCAGTTATCTTCCTCAATGCCTGAGTCGTATTCCTCCTCGGCTGTCTGTCTGGGTGGGGCCCTATAACTCAAATTAAAGATGTCAGCAAAAACAATACAGATGCCAGGTCAGGAGTCCGCAAGTCTGATTTCATTCATGTCGCACACTGACCTGATGTATCGAGGTTGGGAATTTCCTTGAACAACATCTTTGTTCAGCTCCACAACTATGATGTCGGAGTGTGGCACCTCAAACATGGGGTCCAGGAGGAGCTTTTCCTATTAAAATATGTTCTGATTATTCAGCCAGGTCCACACAAGACATTTTTTCAAATCAATTTGCAAAAATTGAAAAAAACAAAAATATTAATATTAATCTTTTTGTTTTTTTCAATTTTTGCAAATTAATTTGAACTTGGCAAAAAACCTACACCAAAAAATTAGTCCTTTTTTAACAACAAAAGGTTGGACAATAAGGATAGAAGGGTATTTTATAATACCATTTTATAACGGTTTCTAAAATACTCTAACTGTGCTAATAAGTAATTTTACATACCATGATGGACCGAAGTCCACGAGCTCCAGTTTTCCTCTCCAGGGCCATTCTGGCTATGGCTCTTAAAGCATCCTGAGTCACATTGAGATCACACTGAAACAAAACAAATGTTTTTTAAACAAAACAAATTAATATTGGCAAAAAAATAAAATAATATAAAAACATGTCAAAAATTGAGAGGGTGTTTATCTCCATGACATTATTAGGAAATTGCTCCAGCCCAGATATTTTATTGGTTCATAAAGTATTCTTTACTGATTTTTCCAGATTTCTCTACTTATTCCATCACACTCTAATGAACGCAGAGTTGGACAGACTGTATGTAGTAATTTGATACATAAGATCCTGGATTGTGGCTACAACAAACTGAAGCCGAGTTGTCAGTGACCAACAATTTCCTAAATTATATGGACATATTTTTAATAAGATGTTTGGTGTTGATCATTGAACAGAGTAACAACCCTTTCCATGCGTCTAATTCAGAAACTAATTGGTTTACTCTTTAATGTGTGTGCACCTGTTATACAGTATGTCTCAGTTTCAAGTTATAGAATATGTAGAAGACAGTTTGTAGTATTATTTGTACACGCCATTGTTTGAGCCCTTACTTTGTCCATACTGAACAGAGCCTGGTACTGAGGAACCACAGCGTTGCGTGGTTCGGTGAGGATGCGGACCAGCGTTGGTTCATCCAGACTGTGCAGAGGAACAACAACAGGGAGACGGCCTACAAACTCTGGGATCATTCCAAACTCGATCAGGTCCCGAGCCTCGACGTGCTTCAGAAGTCTGTCTTTCTCCTCAATCTCTGCCACTGCGTCTGTCTCTCCGCTGGTGTTAGCCAAGTCTGCTGCTGCCGCGGCACGGCGACCTTTGCCCTGGTTCAAAGGAGTTCCAAATCCCAAATACTGGAAAAGAGGCAGAGGTGATGAACAACAAGAGTCTGGCAGAACATCTGTCCAATCGTAGATATATTACTGTTAAGTTTACCTTTTCATTCTTTCTTCTGCTGATGATTCTGTCAAGTCCATTAAAAGCACCCGATGCAACGAACAAGATGTTTGTTGTGTCAACCTGCACAGTTTCTCCCCTCAACTTCCTGGAGTTCTTCTCAGGAACGTTAACTATTGTTCCCTCCAACAGTTTGAGCAAACCCTGACACAACAGAAAATAATTAAAAAAACAAACATGACAAGCACAATAGATGCTGCTTCATAAAGCTCTGTTCACTGTCAGTAGGTAAAAGCTGACCTGCTGGACTCCTTCTCCTCCCACATCTCTCAGCTGATGAATTCCAGGAACACTGCCAATCTTATCAACCTCATCCAGAAACACAATACCTGAAAGTACACACAATAGTATGCCAACAGTAGTATAATCCACCGTGGTTTAAAGGTAAAGTGTGATGGAATTATTTTATGTATTTAACAATCAAATCATATGGTCATATTTAACAGGCAATGACAAGTGTGTGGACATGTTACGTCCATATGTTTATTCTAAAGACCCATTTACACTCATTGTATTTATAAATTAGGTATGCTGCTCTTGCTGAATGTTTGACAGGAAATATAATGATAAAACATTAAACGTGTAAGAGGCTTATTGTATACTACATGTGCAAGTCAGGGGTCGTCATTTTTGACAGTAAGCATTGTTTGCGGCTCACCATTTTTTCTCCATAGTGTAAAGAGACGCAGACTGAAGATTTATTCACTTATTAATCAATATTGTTAAACCAAGAGGCAGATGAGCAGATGACTGCCTGCTTTTTTGTAATGTTGTCGGCTCTTATTTCATGTTCTACCAACAAACACGATAAGACACAAACATATGCTGGGAATCTACAGGAATGTTGCACTCGGTCCGTCAACCTACCTTGCTGGGCTTTTTCCACTGAGTAGTTGGCATCCTGGAGCAATTTAGCAATGACCGACTCAATGTCTTCTCCTACATACCCAGCTTGAGTTAATGTGGTGCAGTCACAGATTGCGAAGGGAACGTCTAGGCAACGTGCCAGTGTCTGTGCCAACAGTGTTTTTCCTGCAGAAGTGACAGAAATCATAGTAATTGTCACCAGATCATTACCCACCAGATCCACCATTACAGTAAGGCACATCGTTGAGACAACACTAACCTGAGCCTGTTGGGCCAAGAAGAATTATGTTGCTCTTCTCAAGTTTAATGTCAGTGTTGTTGGAGTCAAGGACCTCTCCACCCCTCTTCTCCTGAGGTGCCTGCTGGCTAGCCTGTTGCTGCATGGACACACCCAGAGCGTTTCCATGAGGACTGATCCCTGCAATCTGCAGCAACTCTGCAAAAACACATGGAGCCACGGGGTTAGGTTTATGATTAGGAAAAAAAAAAAACACCTGCAGAGTTTTCTATTCAAAAGAAATCCAACAGGCATGTAGCTGCTGCTACAATGTAAACAAGCCATTAACTGAGAGAGTTAGGTGTTACTCAATGACAGTTTCTAAGTAAGCCTGGCACGTCAGCATGCAGTTACTAAATAGGAAACACTGGTCTAAGAATACCCAAAGGTACAGATGTGAATGTAGGTCACTGGGGCTCCTTATCTCATTATTTAACCAGTGAAGAATAACGTTTTTTTAAATTTATCTCTGCAAAGAAATGTGTTAATTATAGGTAACTTATTTATAAAAATAATAAAAATGACATCTTCACTAACTCAACGCTCCATTACTGCATTACTATGACACACGTGAAAAGGTAAGTACGGTCTGTACAGTTTGGCATTTGTACAACCCGTATTAATAGAAAGAGTTGTGTTGCTCAGTTCTTACAGTCAGCACCGGCAGAGACAACAGTGACAGTATAAGGAGAACCGATCACTTACTTGTGAATCTGTATTCATCCTCTCTTCTTTTCACCTCTATCTCTACAGAAAGAGGGTGAAAGTACTCACATAAATATCATAATTTACCAAAGTTGTGATGACATTTTTGAACGCAATCGTGGAAAAGTAAAGTGTCTTTACAGTTCATGTACATATATGGTTGAACAAATGCCAAAATCTACAGATTTGAAAGGTCAGAGGTCACTGCTGCAACAGTCTGACACTTATTTATGTGGACTGTTCCTTCAATAGTGTTGAAACTCAGAACCCAAACTGCAGCAATTCTTCACTGTTTCATATTAACCAGTTAGGTTGCAGCTCAAAATTATTTGCCTGGTCAGCATTTAATCGATTGCAATTTACACTGTATCATTTGTTTAAAACACAAATCATACTGTCAACAACACCGATGTGAACTTCAATCTGAACAAAGAAAAACAGAGCATCTCAACTTCACACACACAATTATCAACATTTTTAGACTCATGGTTTGTACCAGAATACATTTAAAAGGAAATGTTATTCATAGCACAATATATTATACCATTTCCTGTCTATGTGGTCTTATTCAGAGAATCACATAGCCACATACATAAAATGTGTCGACTAAAACTGTAAAGACATGGATTTGTTACGGTCGAAGTGAAAAGCCATAATTTACTGATTTAGCATCTCATGAACTACAGAATGGATCTAGGCCAAAGGTCACCCACTATAAAAATGTTATTATCACAACGTTAACATTGTTGGTAACAATTTAAGTTATTGTCAAGGATCTTTTTTTTCTTTTGACCTCAATTTTTTTTATTAAACCCTCAGTGTCAAGAAGACTCCTGTTTTATCATGACACAGCTGCAGGCACTTCTGGTCTGCTCTTTAGCATGCATCTTACAGGAAGTGTCAAGTGCATGACAATTCTCTCCAATCATTTATCACTCTTAATCTTAAGAAAAACCTGCACATCTTAACATGTGAAACTTTCACTTAGGGTTACAATCCTGCTTGGAGATATTGCACATCACTGTTAGTGGAGCTCATAAAGTACACACACACATAATAAACTGACACCAACTACGGTGACTGGCAGAGGCGTCAATTCCAAAACTGCCAAAGTCATCTGTCACTTCTTACTGAGGTTTTAGAACTTAGCGATGTGGTTGTTACAAATGACAGCAGTGTTGGGGGATGGTCTCAGAAAGCATGTAAACACAGGGGTGTTCAAATGTTAGTCAAGTGTAATGTTATGTTAGTTATTGGTAATGTAAGTAGCATTATTTCTTATAGTTTTTGGAATTTAGCAGAAACCAACTAAAAACACATTCTTACCTGTACTGGGACAAAAAATTACAGATGATCTGGAGTTTTTTTATAGACTACTGATTTAAATATTTAAATTAAAAACAGAGCAATAAAGTTTGTAATTTTTTTTAAACTAAGTTTAAGTTGAGACCATATTTGAGCGGCCTTTCCAGGTTTTCTAAGTCTTTCACGTTATATGCATAATAATTTTTTTAAATATACATCACCCACATTGCCCTAATCATTTCTTGTAACAAGACTAGTACTCACCCCGGGGAGTAAGGGAGGGCTGTTTTTCTATCTCCACCTGCTGCCGATTCCCAGTAGGAATGTTGTTGTAGATTCTCTTATAGTGATTGTATACTGCAACTGCTAACACCTTTTTTGCATAGGACTGGCCAACAACAAACTTGTCCAAGTAAGCAAATATCTAGGGGGGAGGAAATTTTTTTTAAGGATAAAGCTTCTTGTTATTTAGAAAAATTTGACTACAACCAAGGCGAATTTGGTTTACCTTCTTTGGGGGTGGGGGAGGTTTCTGCGTAAAAGCCAGTTTGACCGCCTCTGCAGCAGATTCAGGCTCTTTGTTTAGTCCCTTCTTTGAGTCCGTTTCAGACACCACCACGAAAAAATACTGGCATTTCTCACATTTGACAAACCGCGGTGATGCTAAAACCGAACAGAAGAACGAGGTCATATAACGGTTTAAGAATAGTTAACAGCAAGGTTTAAAGAAAAGGAATCATTCAAATGTACAGGAAGATTAAGCTGAAAAATAAACAAAAATATATACATTCTTAAGTTATTTAACAATGTCAACGTGTTGTCTATAGATACAAAAACAAAGCTTTAATCTACTGCATATGGCCTGGATTAATGTTATTTCTAGCTCTTATTTTGCTGCATTACTAACAAATATTACTGTCAGATGCTATTTTTCTTGTTGGAGAAAGAAGATATTTTTATTTGCAGTACCAATACTAAAAGTCACTCATAAATAAACAACAGATTAAACATTTTTCATTTAAGAAAAAAACTCCTAATAACTTACTCTTTACCATAAAGCTAAGCTTCATGTTTTGTTTTCTAGATGTACTTACATACAAAGGTGTCTACATTTGTGCATGGAACTCCACATTTAGGGCAGCAAAGATGATTTCCCCCCTTTCCTGACCCTCCAGGGCTGGAGTGTCTCTTCCCCTCACTGACGCTTTTCTGTATAAAGGGCATCAATTGTCAAACAATACGTTAAATCCATCAACCCTTTCAAGATTAGTGAAATTGTTTGCAATAGACATTTACCTTTCCTCCATCACTCCCACCATCCTTTGTGGTACCATCTTTGGAGGCAAAGCACACTGCAGTCTCCGAAAATGACCTTACCCTCACCTGTGTAGGTGAAGGAATTTCCCAACACCTCTGACGACTCAGGGAAAAGAACTGAATACGAGAGCAGGACAATCCTGGGACAAGAGCAAAATCTCTTTAAATGATTGAAACAGACACTGTTTGTAAAATAATGGTTTGTGAGGTGTTTATAAGACTTTTGATTTTAGTTTTTTATAACACTGACACCAAATAAATTTTACTTCTAGTTTTTCTATGATGTTTTATGACTTTGTGAAAAATGTTCATCCTTGCATAGAATTTCAAACTGCTCTGTAGGAAACGATGAATGATAATTGTTTTGTTCACAGCTGCACACTTACCACTGTTAAGTGTACAATACTGTATGTACACACACAACCTAACATAACATATGCTATCACCTAGAAGCACATCTAGCTTAAATACAGAAGTATTTATTTCACATTCATATCTATGAGCGCTAACACACAGATATGAATGACAGGTGCCATCATATCTCTAGATATGTGTCTGTAAAATCACTAGGTAAAGTGCAGTGAAGCACAGTAGTTGGAAAGTAGGACAAACGATAAACATGCACAATAACAATAAGACGAGGTCAATGTTATAAATACTACTTATAATAACCGTTGTTGAAGTGGTAGTTAATGTGTTGCTGTACATTTTACCTGAAGGCATATGTTTAATTTAAGGGGTTAACCTATGACAAAATCTGAGACAAGATTTTTTTTCCTTAAGGCCATGCAATTCGTAGACCATCGCCTCTGAATGTTTGTGTTTTAGCAGAGGGCTTGGTTTTCTTACTGGGTCACAGGAAACAATGTCAACAGAATTAGAAGAGTGTGTAATTACCTCTGTGTGCAGTATTCAGCAACAACCTAGCAGCTGAAGTACATGGACAGGACATTACTTCTGTTTTGGATGACACCCTGAAAATAAAACTGAGGTTAACATGATAGAAGAGTTTGGGTTTATTTATGTATTTCAATTCTATTAGAAAAGACAACAGTGGGAGCAGCACGGGCAACTTGCGTTTGACCATTGCATAACTCCCACGCCAGTGCTAGCATTTGTAAGTTAGGTTTCAATATATGTCAACCGACCACAGACATTTATACTTTTAACAGTAACTCCACCTTAACCCACCAACGTCCGTTTTTAGGATAAGGTATATGCGTTCAACGGATAAAAAAAACTGTCAGAAAACATATACATCTGGCTTTTGGGACAAATAAACACTGTTAGCCCGAAGCTAAGCCAAGGCCAGATCCGTCAGAAAGAATAACAAACTACTCTGCTCACAGGGCTATCCAGTTCTGTCCAGTGTCCAAGCCGACGATACAATTTATTTTAACAGTTAAAACAGTAAATGACGTAAATAGCTTGTAGGTTGTACTCACAAGGCACGATGAAACCGCAGTATTTGAAACAATCCCCCTCAGAACAACAAATATGCTAACTCACTGTCGCTGTCGAGCTGTTCGGGTTCGAGAGCTTATAGTGTCAAACTACAGGTACTACTGCTATAAAGTTAGACGCACTGACTTCCCTGGGACGAGGTTAACCAAGTGGGACACGACCCACAAATGATGTAACACAAACGCTCGATGCTGTAAATGAGGTCGTTTACATTGCTAGCCAACTAGCGTCAGTTCCGCGTACAGTACTGTGTTAGGGGAGGTCACTGGTTTGGACAACATGGAGGCTCCATTGATGCCTAAGCAGTTTACGACCATCCACACTTTTATAGATCTAGTAACGCAAAGGAGGCGTACACTGAGAGGCGGGGAAGAGGCAAAGACTGGGACCTTCATTCTGCCATCAGGAAATCCTCGAAAAATGTTACTATTTATACTTACTGGCAACACAAATGTACAATTATATAGATCGTCAAAAAGTAGCAAAGGAAATTTACTGTGTGTTATATAAAACCTTTTGGTGGTTTAAAAGGTGATTGTGGGAGACGGATGAGTATTTCTAAGGGTGACACTCATGAAAACAGCTAATTATTTATTATTTATAAAATCTAGATTTATCAATTAAACAAAAATAGAAACTTTCTCTGTCAAAATGAAGCAATTGTGTCTTACAAAAGAACACTGTTAGAATATGTTGGTGTATTTTACACCCGTACTATTTGTGGGAAATAATATTTTGTCGTAGTTGTGCGTGCATTACTCTAAAGTATGAACTGACTTTTTGTGATTCATGTAATGTTTACTGAAGGTTACAACATGGTCAGGTAATGACATGCCTGGTCATAAAAAGTGAAGTCCGAGTTACAAAGTCATTACAGGCAACTTCAACACAGGATGCTGTTACAGTAAATCCTCCACAGTGTAGGTTTAAATAAAAGAAAACACTATTTAAAACACATTTTCTTCTTTTCTTTTCTCAGGGTGCTCGGAGTTTAACCTTGCAGAGTTTTACATGGCTGTTCTCCCACATGAACAAAAGCCTTTTGTTGGGATAGTATGACAGCATAGCCATGATGTCTTTGTTTGACCTTAAATTCAAACCTACATCAAGAGCAATTTCTCTCTTCAAATCAAAGGCATGTGTTATCCTGGTGTCTGTATTTTCAGTAAAATACACAATCCCATCTACGATGAACGCATTCCCTGATTTGGTTGAAGGGTAGGCAGTGTTAATGACAGTCTCCACGGAGAAACTGTCCGTGCTGAGCTTGGCAACCCTCACACTATCATCTATGTCAGATGCAAAAATGACCCAAAGTCCATTTTCATCCACTGCAAACTTAAAGTACGTCTTTGAGTTGGGGAAGAGATATGTCAGGTTGTTGAATTTGCTGTTTGTCATAGACAGTGTGTGTGTCCTCCCAGTCTTCAAGTTCAATCTGAAAAGCAATACGAAAAAAGTATCATATATTTAATTTAGGCTGTCAAACAATAAACAATTTCAATCTCATTAATCAGAGGAAAGTTGTGAATTAATTAATAATAATTGTGATTAACTGAGATAAATCACTATATAAGAAAACGTTTTCATTTTTTCTGTATAAATTTCTGTATATATCTATGAATTACCACCATAAGAAACAGTAAAAAGTTATTCTGAATATTTTTACAAATTAATTACTGTGATGTAATGCTACTTTTGAGACAAACAAAGAAGATCTGAACAGTTAAATCACAGAGGCAACAGAAATCTCCCAGGATCATTAAGGTAAAGTGAGGAACATACTTTTTAAGATTGTTGGTGCCGGCGTTGTGAAAGTAAAATGAGCCCTTGTACACGACATGACCACAACCCTGGTACAGTCTTCGTACATTTATAGTTTTGTTGCTTGCTTTCTGAATTGCCGCCAAATTCTCATATTCTGTTAAAGTTCGACCTGAAAAAAAAAAAAAGTCAGACAAATAAACAGACAAAATGAATTACAACGGTATATTTGACGATAAATTCCTGTCAATACAAATAAATCACCTGAAAAATGATCGGCCAGCCAGTATCGGCTGTCATTCATTCGGGATGCATCTGCCAACCAGGCTCCAAATGTGCTGTTCATTTTCAGAACTTTCTCTGAACACTTTAGAGATTTTATGTTGTACTCTAAAAATAAAAAAAAAAATATATATATTTTTATATTGTGCAGGTGGGTTATCAAAAGGAAACAAAGATAGATGAAAAAAGAGAAACAAACGACAGACAGATGGATCGACAGCAACAGGCTATTTTCTCCTAGACAAGTATGGGTCTCTCTGGCAAGAAAGAAAGAAAAAAAGAAAGAAAGGAGCAAAAAAAATATACTGACCATTTTTATGCCTCCACTCAGTAGTTGGCATATTATCTTTATTATTTTTCTGAGGTGGAATTGAGTCTTCAAAAAAAAAAAGATCATTCAACATTTTGCAATGACCCTAATCCACTGACTGTTAGATAAAAAGTAAACGTAAAGTGCACACATGAAGGTTTCTCACCGCTTCCCCTTTCTGTATTAATAACATTCTCACTGTTCCTCTTCTGAACTATTTCATCAGAATGTGAGGCTGAAACAAAAACAAAGATTGAACGTGTTTTTAATCTAGTCAAATGTCACCTTAGGTGTTTTCAATACTGGTTAGACTTAAAGTTAGGATTAACTTGTCCTTGTTAAGGTTTGTTAGATGAAGCTTGGGTTAGGCTCAACAAAAAAAAAATCAATGTTATTTTAATGGTCTAAGTATGTGTTTTTAATGATGAGTGGCATAAGTATGTTTTGAAATGTATTCATACTTATTAGTATTTTCTTTGGGGCCTTTGTAACGCTGTCACCTCCAGTATCACCGACGTTGTCATCGCTCCTGTCTTCGTGATGTGATTCGGCCTCTAGAGGACAGTATTAAGCACATTTTTGACTTCACACTCCAAGTCAAAGTCATGTGGGTTTTTTTCTAAATTTAAACTTTTGTTTACCAGACTCGGTGTTAGTGCTCTTTATAAACTCAGAAGTCCCCATGTTGTCAGGAGGATAAGGTGTTGTAGTTTCTGCAGGAACAAAAAAACCTAAGTTCGTTCAAGTGCACAAATGATCATTCTAGTATTCTAGTAGTTTTGTTGATACTAATTAATTCTGTTATGAATAATAGGCAGCTTTCATTTTTGTTAATATGAATAAATTAAATAATTCCAAACTTAAAAGATTGAAGATTGAAGACATTTCAATAGAATCAGTAGAATGTAATGATTTAAAAAGTATTTAATGACATGCAAATTAATCCATTTGATTTCACATTAATTTGTGGTATGTTCAGTTTTTACCACTTTGTGTAGGTCTTTCTGTCATCTGTCCATCACCAGCCAAGTCATCACTTTGTTTGTCCTTAGGCAGTGCAGCTGTGGGGTGAAGATGATACATGAAACATTAAATGGATTTATTAATTTTTGTTAATAACTCTTGATGGTTCTAAAAAAAACACCATCATGATAAACAGTAACTACTAAAATCCAGCAACTCTTGAAGCAAGTTATATTAATTCCATCATTGGGATTAAATACAATTTCAATTTCAAATGAAGAGGTTGGCTATAAGGGTGGCTGCTGCGAAACCAGTCCCAGCTGTCATTGGTTACATATATTTAACATTCTAGACTGGTCACCAGTCCATCACAGGGCCACAAGTTGAACCTATTTACACCCACATCTACACCTAAGTCTGGATTTCTTTTCTCAGGAAACCAATCCCAAATCTGCCTGTACACAGTTGAAACCAACACTAGAGACTAAACATATAAGATTGTAGTTTCTTACCTATTTCTATGGTTGTTTCAGAAAACTCACTGCTCCCATCACCTGCCACTGATGTCAGTTCCACAGAATGTGAAGCTATAAATTAAGAGTCACAGCATTATAAGCTGTACATTTATTAGAACGCTATATAACGTTTACTGAATGCTTAGACTTTAAATTGTTTATCTTACTTGGTAATAATATCACTGGTGGCTCTGTGACACTGTCAGCTCTATCTTGATCAAGTGCTTCTGAATATAAAAGACAAATAGTTACAATAATATGTTTGTCATATATTATCCATGGAAATGTTATATGTGTGGTCACTGAAATGTACCGTCTTCTTCTCTCTCTGCCTTTTCAGACAGCAGTTCAGTGTCAGTAACAAGTGTGTTCTCTGCAGGATTTTCCATTGGTGATTCTGTACAATGACAGGACAGAAAAGATCAGGAGGAATAAATAACGTAGTAGTAGTGTACTTTTGTATTTAAATTATTATTCTTTTTACCACTTGTCATTGTGAAACCAGTTGTGGTGACACTTTCACTGAAGGTATTTCTGTTTTGATCCACAATTTCTTCAGCTGATAAGAAAAGATAAGGTGTGTTTTCATGTGTTAAAGTTACTGACAATGATCTCGAGTCTCAGCTGCAACATTCCTTACCTATTATAGGTGTTTCTGTTCTGTCCTCTGTGTCGGAGTCATTCAAATTGTTGGTTTCTTCATCTGAAGTGACTAATTCTAGAAAATTAGTTGGGTTTTTTTCCAATCAGTTAATTTTGCTCCAACTATAAATTCATTTCAGGAAAATGGAGTGAAGTACGTTCTATAGTTATGACTGCATGGACAAAAGCTTTTTATATAATGCTTTAGATTGCTTAAATTAAAAAAATACAAAATGGTAATTTCCTAAGTATGAATATCACTCTATTATTAGATTATAATTATAATTAACTACTCAAAGCTGTTTTTGCATTGATCTACAAAACGGTCTCTGTTTGCGACATTAATCTCACCAGTTTCCTCATTGGAAGTTGTAAACACCTCCGTAGGAGTAATCACATCTCTGTCTTCAACTTCTGAATGTTCTGTTGGTACCACTGAGAAACAGAAACCACACATGTTGAGTAACGTAAACATCTGGGCCAATAATTCATGAACAAGACCCATTTTCACCTACCTGTAAATAGTTCTAAAGGTGCCACTGTTATATTTACTGCCTGAGAATAAGAATTATCTTCATCCACCAAATCAGGTGGAGCTGAATCTGTAGGACACAATGTAAATACCATTGAATTACACACACTAGTCCTATTTTAAATGAATATATTTTAAATAATAAAAATTAGCGTAAGTTATCTGTCTGAAAGATTTTTACCACTAATGGTTATAGCATCAGTTTCATTTCCACTGCTTTTAAAAACATCATCATCATCACCATCGCCAGAGTTTTCAGAAAACAGATCTGGAAAAGGAGACAAAATATAAAATGATTTATATACAGTATTAAAAGAGTGAACTGCTGTCCATTTATAGTTGGAAGCAAAATAAACCTTACCTAATAACAATTTCACTGCTGGGTTGGTGTTGTTATCCATGTTGGTAGTGTTGCTGTTGACCAGCTTTGTACTGGTAGAAATCAGCATAGTATCATTGGTTCTGACCAGTCCTATAATAGTATGGTTCCTGGTGCTGGTATCGCCGATTGTGTTGGTACCATTCGTGTTGTTAACCATTCCTTTGTTGGTAACACTCCACATGCTGGTCTTATTGGTGTTGACTGGCTCAGTGTGGTTGGTAACACTGGTAGTGGTGCTCTTATTTATGGAGTTGGTGCCATTCATGGGGCTGACCAGTCTCATCTGGGTATCATTCAACAGTGTGGTACCACCTGTGGAGCTGACCAGTTTTAGGTTGGTGTCATTGTTGCTGACCAGTCTTTGGTTGGTATCTTTCCACACACTGGTATTATTTAAAGTGTTTGTATAATTCAGTAGATTGGTATTATTTCTAGTGTAGGTGGCATTTACTGTATTGATCGGTCTTGTGATGGTACTATTGGAGGAGTTATTATTATTGGTGGAGACAATACTTTTGTTGGTATCATTTATGGTGTCAGCAATACTGTTGCTGACCAGTAGTGTGTTGGTGCCATTCAGTGTGTTGGTATTACGGGTGTCGGTCGGTCTTATGATGGTACCATTTGTTATGTTGGTATCACTGGTGTTGTCCAGACCTGTGTTGGTGCCATTGGTTGTGTTGGTCCTATGTGCATTGACCAATCTTGTGTTGGATTCATTCATTTTGTGGGTTTTACTGGTGTTGACCAGGCTTGTGGTAGTAGCGTTCATCTTACTCATACTGGTGTGGGACAGTCTTGTGTTTGTGTCATTAGTTGTGTTGGTATTACTGGTGTTGACCAGTCCTGTGTTGGTACTATTTGATTTTTGGGTATTACTGGTGTTGATCGGTGTTATGATGGTACCATTAGTTGTGTTGGTACTGTTAGTTGTGTTAGTATTACTGGTGTTGACCTGTCTTATGATGGTACCATTTGTCTTGTTAGTGTTACTGGTGTTGACCTGTGTTATGATGGTACCGTTTTTTATGTTGGTAATGTTTTTGTTGATCAGCTCTTTATGAGAATCATTCAGAGTCTTTGTATAAACAGTCTTGTCAGATCTTGGCCTGGTTCCATTCAGCATGTTGGTATTGTTTCTGTTGACCAGGCTTGTGTTAGTGGGATTGTTACTGGTACAGGTTGCATTTTTATAATTCAGCAGTGTGCTGGTTGTATTAGTGTTGATCAGTGTTGTGTTGGTTCCATTTGTAGTGTTCCTCAGGCTGGTGATGGTGTAATTATTCATGTCGGTTTCATTAATGTTGTTATGAGAAGATCCCAAATCTAGAAAAGAAAATGATCAGGTTAACCTTTATGACCATGTGTGTGTGTTTTTGCAGCACAACTTGATGGTTTTATATTATTATTGCTCCTCTTGTGTAAAAATCCAATGAGAACTATTTTAATAAAAATGTTGTAAAAAATGTCTTACTCTTAATAGATGAATGACTGGTGGTTTTGTTTTCCACGTTGTTACATGTACAACCAGGACAGGCTGCAGCAGGTGGACCTGGTGGACCCGTTGGTCCAGGGGGACCTTCACATATAAATCATGTAATTACATGTTAGACATTAAAACAGCCAGCTTAAAAGCTTGAAAAAAAACTCAGATAAAACATGATATTTCCAAATAAGTTATTAACGTAAAACATACAGTGATAATTTCTGAAAAGAAAAACAAAATGAATCATGCAATACAAAATGTGGTTGTCCAGGATGAAGTCCCCTGTTCACTTATTGACTTGTTGTTTCTGATTGATCTTGTCGTGTTTTGTATGAATAATCAAATGTATAGAGAGCTACTATTTTCTTCAATGTTCACCCACCTCTACGTCCTCGTTTCCCTTCTGGACCTGGCACACCTTGTGGTCCTGGTAGTCCATCTCGGCCAGGCATACCTGACAAAACAACATACTTTTTTTATGACAAACATACGTTTTAACAATGTACGGAATAAATGAAATAGAAATACATTTTACTATTACTAAGACTAAGCTGTTAGGGCAATAGGGAGCGTGTTCTCACCTGATTATAAAAATTAATAATTTGACCAATATCTCACAATGAGCTCCTTTAAAAAATAATAATTAATAATAATAATTTTGCTGACTAAAATGCCATGTTGAATTTTAAGTTAACTTTACCAAGTTGTATTTTCACTTCACACTGAACTTTATAGAAATTATAGAATTATTTAAGAAAGAATTTTACCTGGTGGTCCAGGTGGACCTAGAGGAAAAATAAATACATAAATGCAATGTTAATTAAACCAGTCACCAAAAGAATTAGTACACAACAATCTGTTATTTTGAAATGCACCTGTTAAACAAACGCCCTTGTTGCTGGCACAAAGGTCAATCAGGGTTTTGACCTGAAATAATGAAAAAAGACAGACAAACATTCAATAATCTTTAAATAAAACAATAATCGTTAAACCATTTATGAACGCTGTCATTCATTTTTCAACAACCACAAAAATTTGCACCACAATGTGTTTCTGATATTGAGTGATAAACAATAAGAACTGTAAATGTTTCAGTTTGGCTGTACGTGTGGGAAACCCTGCTGTGGTTCCTACGAACATGAGTCAATTTGTCCTGAGGGAGATAATTAAGCCCAACCCAAATCCTAAATTACTCTCAGCACCAGGGTTCTCATTATTATCTAGAAAACCGCTCAGACATTTAGCTCCTGCGCTGGGAAACATGTCATTTTGTTCACTGTGCTAATGGAATGGAAAACAAGAAAGACATTCTTTAATGCTGTTACAGACACTATTTCCTCAACAGCAGCACTAGTGTTCTGCAATTTATAAAGTGTTAACAAAAAAAAACACAAACCCACAAATGTTACTCTGCCTTACCTTTAACAGACATTATTTATCAACTCATTATCTAAGCACAGTTTCCAATGCTACTGTAAATGAATTAAATATTTAGAATGAGTATATGTGATTGCATATGAATCATGAAGGATAGAAAGTGGCCATTACAGACCAGATATGCAGTGTAAGTATAAGATCTACAATCTAAAATACAATCATTATTTTTTGACATTTTTTGGAACACAATGTATTTATTGTTGTTGTTATTATTATTATTATTATAAAAATATTTTTGTTTACTATGTTTACTAGGGAGTGAAATGCACTTAATAATTGTTAAGTTACCAGTGTTACCTACAAACATAAAACCAACAAATCTCTTTTACAAACTTCTTCAAGTTTAGTGAAAGTAGTTAACAAATAACTAGTCAAAGTTATATCATTAGGTAATATTTTTAGCAAAGCTTCCCCAACATTACCTATGTGGACAGAATTTTAAGTTTCACGCTCAAAGGAAAAATCTAGATTTCTAATGATGTTGGAGGAGTTGGGAGAGAAGAAGGTTACAGCCATGCTCCACTACTCAAGGTAATTTATACTGGAAACAGTTGTGGAAAAACAGACTCTATTCTAATCAGTGCAGCAGACTCCTGAATTCTTTGCATTAATAGAACAGTCCTGGTAAAAGAAGTCAGAGCTAAATAAGAAATCAGTTCCTTCCCATTTTGTTTTAAGTCATTAAAATAAAATAAAAATAAGATAAATGTTATAAATGTTTAAAATGCTAATGGATTACACACACTCCAAAGAGACAACTTTTAGTCATTACTGGTGTCTTACAGGGACCATGGAGTAGGACATCATCATCAGCATGTCCTTGTTGTCGTCATCTTCTCCTTCATGGCTTCTTCTGCTGCGATGTGGCATGCTCAGTTCTGGTTCGTCGTCAGGGTCAGAGGACAAGACCCCCATCTCTACCCTGTAGTTCATCTCATGCACCTGAGCATCCAACCTCGCAATCTCCCCCATCATCTGTGTCTGTCTCACCAGCAGAAACAGAACGGCTGCTGAGGTAATGATCAAAAGCAGGCTCATCCCCACCAGCAGCATCCTCAACAAGAGATATCTTCTACTTTCCTCCGTCATACTGTATCGGTTGCTTGTAAACTGATTGTCTGCTGCACACTGATGTGGGCTCCGAAATTCACAAGCACATATCTGAACACCTGCCAATAGATGACACATGAGTGGGAAAACAAGGCTGCAGCGATTGGACAGGCATGAACATGTCAGGATCTGTCTGTGAAACGACTGGAGAAACCACATGACGAGTTGCACAACATCAAGCATCTGGGAAACAGTTAGAGCAAAGTCTGCCGTCTGTCTTCATTTAGAAGCAGTTAATGGACATATTTTCCAGAGTGACTGTTTCCCATCTTTGTAGTGTTCTTCTTCTCTTCTTTATCTTCTTGATATTGTCACCAGTCTGTTCCACACCAAATTACATGGAAGTGGAATAAATAAGAAAAGGACAAAGTCGTCTTTCTTTGGGTTCACAAAAGCCCTTTCAGAAAACTTTCTGTGAAGTGTGTGTACACATGAGGGAGAGAGAGAGAGACAGAGAGAGAGACAGAGAGAGAGAGCGAGAGAGAGAGTGTGTGTGTGTGTGGAGACAAACCTGTGTGTACACTGTCACGTCATGGGGACCAGGTGCGTTGTGGAAACAAATAAAATAAAAAAAACTTCATGAGTCACACAGGTTAACGACTCAGTGTGGTGATGCTGGAGTCACTAAAAATCAATTTTAATTCATGTCATCAAGTATTTTCATGCCCCTGAAACGACAAAAAACACAGATGTTATTTTGGAATTGCTGTCATTTTTGGCTCTTGCACAATTTGTTTTTTGTCTCTTTTTGGCCATAGATTTTTGACATTTTTGAATGTCGGACCTAGTTGTTTATTTCTTTAAATTGTTTTTTAGCATTTTCACTGTTTTACAAAAAACCTACAGTCTTTGTGGAGACCAGGTTCTCATTTCTTAGTCTCTGGTTAAAGTTAAAATGAAAAGTACATTGCATGAAAGATTAGGTATGGGATGGATGCAGTATGGGTAATGTGCCACATCAGGGCAACTTTATGTTTAAAAAGTCCTCCCAAAACAAAACAAAAATGTGTGTTTACGTGTCTTTATGTCCTGATTAGTCCTGGACCAGTTCTGATATTGTCAGTAATTTCAAGTCTTGATGAGGACCAAAAACATAACACTAGTAAGAGTTAGCATTACAATGTTAATTGTCATTACTTTAAGTAAAACAGGGTCTTTTATAGATTTGTCAGTTCAATACAAAATAATAGGCTCTGACATAGGTTTTGCTGTTTCTCTATGATGAACATTTTGCAAATAATACATTGTAGATGCTTGTTTTGTGCTTCCTTTAAGATCGAACAAATGAATCTTGGGTAACCCCCCACACCCCAACTGAACCTCTAGTTGTGAGAACAGCATCTTGTTAAACAGAACACAGCCCATTTAAAAGGGCTTTTTCTGAAGGACAGCTCATTACAGACACATGAAATGGATATTGAAACTTTCTCTCTATCAAGTTTGAATCCATATTTTTTCACATAATACAAACAGCATTTTTGTGACATCCTTAAGGCTGAGTTTTTTTTTGGGTGTTTCTTGGTTGTGTATTTGCTGATTTGATTCGCTGAATAAAACTCTGCTCTCTTTCGACACAGGTCACTCTGACCCAGCCAATTAAGTTCCTCTTGAAAGCCTCACTGCTTAAAAGAACTAAAGCCTGGCCTTCCTCTTGTTTCTTTTCAAAATAGCTGAATGTGAGGTGAGCCCATGTAAGGGAGAACGAACTCCTGCAAAGAACAACTCATGAAAGGGTTTTGCAATTCTTGTGGATAAAAAAAACAAAAATGTTTGTCCTTTTTGAAGCAGGTTTAAACACGCACTGAGATGTCCCGCCGTGCAGCAGCACTTGTGACCCCAGAGTGGCGGTGTTTCTCAGCAACCAGGGAAGGGAAGGCTTTATAAACGCTTGGGTCACACTGATTTATTCGCTGAGAGAATGTTCATCATCTTTCCCCTGGGCAGAGCTGTATCTCCTGAATTGACAGAAGTTTGAAGAAGTTCGGGACGTCATACGTAAGTAACAGAGATCATTAATTAATTCCTCATTGAAGAAATAGAAGGAATGAGTTCCTTATTCATTGTTAAACCTGAATGCCCTCACCACGGTCTCGTCAGGACTAATTCAATAATATTTTTGACTAATTAAGGTGTCATTTCGTCATTATATATTTACATTACTGAATTGTTTTGCTTGATTGAAAAAAGTACAATCCCCTGTTTTGAGTTTATGATATTTGCGTCATACTGCTGAAGTAAGTGAATTGTGAAGAAAATATAATTCTGGTGTTCAACGCCTGAGAAAGGCACTTTGACTGGAAATCATGTTGTGAACCTATTAACACAATTAAAAAAACCCTCTTTATGGATTGACTGCAGTAACTGTAAACTGATATACTCACCCTGTCTCTGACAAGGCACATTGTGTATCTTTGCGTGGGTGTGTTTTGGTTTCTCCGTGTACCAGAGCTTTGTTTAACCTGAGCACCCGTGGACAAAAGTATTAGGAAGGGGTAACAGGAAGTTTATTGTTAAAATTGTTTTTGTACATAAAGGGGGACAACAGCTTCTCAAACACACTCTACCCACAGGTGGAATTCTGTACCTGGCTGCAGTCATGGAAGAGTTGCTGCTGAACAGCAGCCTCGTGTCCGTGGACACCTTGTCCAAACTCACGACCCTTCTGCTCGTCTTCCTTCTGCTGCTGCTCTGCACCACCTGGACCCGCACAAAGCAGTCTGACATTCCTGGTAAGAGAGCAAGGACTCTGTTTTCACATTGCTTTGTAAAATGGACTAGTGGCTGCAGGTATAAACAGATAGAGATCACATGAAGGAAAATAAAAACAGGTTTTTTATCAACTCTGATATTTCGGACAATGATAATGAAGCTATCCTTGTTAAATTTAAATGACAAATTGGACTGAACAGAAGAAAAGCACATAATAACAGTGTTACTAAATCAAATGTCTAGTCCATCAATTACATGGCAGCAACTCAGTTCATCTAGACATGGTCAGAAAGATGCACCAGATTAAGAAAGAAAGGTGGTTTAGATGACATTAAAGTGGTGATGGTATTCCATTGGGGCTGAAGTATTTGTAAATGTCCACAGGTCTACGACCTCCAACAACTCCATTAGGTGTCAGAAAAGTGTCAGAGATTAAACGCCAAACTAGTTCAGGCATGAATAACAGGCGAATCTTGCTACAACCCATGATGCACAGGACAATCTCTGACCAAGCAACAGTTAAATATAAATCACTTCACTGTACTTAAACAACATCAGCATCTATCAGGTCATTAGGACACAAATGGTAACCCTTTTGGATATGATGAAACAGAAGATTCCTATCATGGATGTGCTGTCAATAATTCTGCAGTAACTGTATGATATTATCATACCAGTACAGACCAAAAAATTCTGAGAAATGTTCTTGTTTTGTTCAAAAGATGGCTTCTCATATCTGATGAAATGGAAAGGTGGCTGCCAAAAAAAAGTATGTGCTTGTATATCTACAATCTCAATAAGTGTCATTCTTCTTTGTAAAGGTATTATCAAACAATAAAGTTAAATAAAATTAAACTGTTTGGAATTGTTGCACAGTGAGCTGAACAGAAAGTGAGCAGAGCTTTTACACCAATAGACACATGGCAATTAAAGTCACTGTTTCACTTACTGCTCAGAGGAGGAAAAATGCTTGAGAAAAAGATCAAACAAGGACTGCAGAAACTTAAAGAAAGGCCAAATGAGTTTTAATGTAGTAAAATGTAGTTTTAACAGCTAAGTAAGCTGGTCATTAGCAAAACATTGTTTTTCTGTTTTCATTTAAGAAATATTCAAATATTCTATATATCTATTGCCAAAAGACATTTTTCAGGTTTATTTCTAAAAGTAGAATTTGTTGTAATAATAAAGTTGACAGTGAATTTAAATAGTATCACATTTTTAAGGACATGTCCAATCCCACCAACATCAAAACAACAATCAAAATTCACATCACCTCCTTTGTGCCAGGTCCATCTTTCTTGGCAGGACTTGGTCCCGTTCTGTCCTACACCAGGTTCATCTGGACTGGAATTGGAACAGCAAGCAACTATTACAACAAGAAGTATGGCAGCATGGTGCGTGTGTGGATCAATGGTGAGGAGACCCTCATTTTAAGCAGGCAAGTCTACTTAGATATTTGTATAACGTGAAATGCCAAAATCAATGTCCTGACCCAGTATTCAGGTAAAGCCCAGTGCTGTGTTACTCCACAGGTCTACAGAGGTGTATCACGTTCTGAAGAGTGTACACTACACTGCCAGATTTGGCAGTAAAATAGGGCTGCAGTGTATTGGGATGGAAGGAAAAGGGATAATTTTCAACAGTGATGTTTCGCTCTGGAAAAAAGTAAGGACATACTTTTCTAAAGGTGAGTAGGTCTCAATGGTATCGTTTTCTTTTTACTTTAAAAATGATCAAAAATGTATTTCGACATTTTCCATGCCACAGCAAGAATAGGTGTTACTGTAATGTACTGTACAATTGGAGGATTATTTAAACTTGGAAGAACTAAGTTTGAACTGTGACTCGAGGAAACCTCATAGGAAACAAAATCTTCTTGTGAAAAAAAAAAAAAAAGAATAGTTGACAGTAGTACCACAGGATTAGATGTATAGACTGCTCAAACCTGATCTGCAATGTTGAAGACCAAGACCAGCTCCACAAAGCCAGTCAGAACACTGCCTGGGGAAAAGCTGAAGAAAAAAATCAAACATACTGAACTGAAAGCACATCTTTTGTTACGATGAGTCAGATGAACATTCTTTCATTGAATATAAGCCTTTCATAAAGTCACTGTGTATATGTACAGTATCTATAACCCAAACTACAGACAGCCTAGAACCTATAAACAGATGTTCCAACACATTTTTCATATCTAAAAAAATGATCTGCAAATTTGAATTATTGCCATGTTTAAAAGCACTTACAGGCCCTGCCCTGCAGAGGACAGTGGCAATCTGTGTGGACTCCACTGCCGAACACCTGAACAACCTGCAGGAGGTGACCGACTCCTCTGGTCATGTGGACGCCCTCAATCTGCTGAGAGCCATAGTGGTGGACATCTCCAACCGGCTCTTCCTGAGAGTTCCACTCAATGGTCAGCTAGATGTTCAGTGTCTCCAACTTTGACATTCTGTCGTGTCTGTGAGTAGTATTTCTTTTACTGACCCCTGCAGTTTTTTGGTTAATTCTCATTTTCAGTGAAAGACTTGTTGATTAAAATCCACCACTACTTTGAGACCTGGCAAACAGTCCTCATAAAGCCCGACCTATTCTTTAAGATTGGATGGCTGTACGACAGACACAAGAAAGCAGCGTAAGGTTTCTGTACACAAAGACAACCTTTAGGTTGAGGAGTTCTTCAATCTGATCTTTGATGCCCCTTGTGTCGACAGCCAAGAACTACAGGATTCCATGGAGAATCTTTTAGAATTGAAGAGAAAGATGATAAATGAGAGTGAAAAACTGGATGATGATCTTGACTTTGCAACAGAGCTCATCTTTGCTCAGGTCTGCCTCTTTTGATAGCAGTGCTTAAATGTCATAGAATGTTTGTTTTTTTTTTAAATTTATTTTTACTTTTCTGTTGGACAGAACCATGGAGAGCTGTCTGCAGACAACGTCAGGCAGTGTGTGCTAGAGATGGTGATTGCAGCCCCTGACACACTTTCTATCAGTCTCTTTTTTATGCTAGTGCTGCTGAAACAGCACCCTGAAGTGGAAGTGAGACTAGTGGAGGAGATGAACACTGTCAAGAGTAAGTGAACTACAAAAGCTGCAGAAGAAACTATAGAACAAAAGACAAACTGTATTAGACATACTGTAACAGCCTGCAGACCATTGATAGGGGCGGAAGAAGAGAGGGAATGTGTTGCACCATGGGAGTATCCCCATAGGTCTGGGCCTGTAGTTGGGTACCAAACTAAAATAAACACAGTGACATCTAAATTTAGACTTAAGATTCAAATTTGCTTAAAGTGATTATTACGAAGTGTAGTAGATTCACATTAAAATGCACGTCCTGACATGTTCACTTTGATTGGTGCATTAAAATCGATTAATCAGAAATGATTATGATGAAAGTGTTCAGCTTTGACAGATGTAGTTAGAAGTATACTGTGTAGAATCTGGGTAAAGTTGTTTCTTTTTTTTACGTCAAGCGTGTTTCCTCTAATGGGGTTTACAATGTTTGACCATCTTCTTCGTGCTTCTTAACTAAAGTGTAGTGGAAAATTCATGAATGGTGTTCTGATTCCAGATGAAAATCCGGGTGAAAACATTAACTATCAAAGTCTGACCACACTTGAGAACTTCATCAACGAGTCTCTGAGATTTCATCCTGTGGTGGATTTCACAATGAGAAAAGCTCTGGAAGACGATGTCATCGAAGGCATGGCGATCAAGAAGGGAACCAACATCATTCTCAACATCGGCCTCATGCATAAGACAGAGTTCTTCCCGAAACCAGAGGAGTTTAACCTGGAGAACTTTGATAAAACTGTAAGACAAGTAACAAGGTTTGATGAAACAAACTGACATACACACCTGAGATTTCTGTCCTTTTCCTGGCAGGTGCCTAATCGCTTCTTTCAGCCCTTCGGCTGTGGGCCGCGCTCCTGCGTGGGCAAACACATCGCCATGGTCATGATGAAGGCCATCTTAGTCACTCTGCTGTCTCACTACACGGTGTGTCCTCGTCAGGGCTGCAGCCTCAGCAGCATCAGACAGACCAACGACCTGTCCCAGCAGCCTGTGGAGGACGAGCACAGCCTGACCATGCGCTTCATCCCCCGAACCACGCAACCTACACAGGAGTAGCTCAGAAACACAGAGAACAGCTGCAGAGTTGGACAAAGACCTGAATGTTCATGTTGAAGTGTCTGGACAACATCGGAACATGGGTCAATTGGCTGTATGTAGTTAAAATGGAGGTAGTATCCATATGTGCTCCATGCAAATTAATCCCATATAATTAATCACTAAGGCTAACATATTAGACAAGACGGCTAATCTTTGAGTTTTGTTCCCTATTTCTGCAACTAAACAAGTCCAGACTTTAAATAAAACCATATGGATTCAACTAATACAGCGCATAATATTTACAGACAAAAACACTAGTAATACTATATGTTATGCAGTATATACATTGATGTAGTGTCAGTAATAATTAACCATATAATGTTTCTTGTATTTCACAGGTAATCTTAAAGTAACCAAATGGTGTAGTGAGTAGTGTACAGTATATAAACAACACACCATGTCGTGATGTTAGCAAAGCACAGATAATAACAAGGAAAATAACACTTTTTTCAATTCTTATCATATTTACAATAAACTAACAACAATAAATTTAACATTTAAAATTAACTTGTCTTTAAATCAGGAAGAGGTACTACTGTATGTTACTAACATTTTTACATTGGGAAATATATTTTTTAACATGTAGTGTAACACAACTAAGGAACAACTTCAACTGATCTGAAACAAACCTGAGTAAAACGTTTGTGTAAAAAGTGTTTCCTGTACAACAGTAACTGAAATCTCTGCCTCATGTTTGACTTTAACACACACAGAGAACAACAATTACGGCCGCCTTTTCGAAGTAAAGTAGTATTTGGATGGCAGTATATCAACAGTCGTTGTGGGGTCTGATCATTAAGTGAGGAGGATTTTAACATTTTTAATTCCTCCTCACTTATTGATCTGAATTCTGTTGAGAGCATTGTTGGACAAAAGGACAAGTTTATTTACATGTGTTGACTTTATTGATAGAATGCAGTGACTGGCACTGTAAGAAATATTTATTTTACGCTGTGCCATAGGCACAAATAAAAAATATGCCTCGATGGCACTGAAACATAAGGCTTATGGTTTAAGTTGGGTTAAACATAATAGGATTCAAACTAGTGAAACACAATGAAAATAAAGTGGTTTCATTTCCTGTCAGGTAACAACCACCTCCGATTGTGAAAGGTAATTACTTTGTCAGGCTTATTAGATATAAGACAATTTCTGAAGTATGTATATTTAATAAATATGTTTTCAATACTGCTTTCTAGAACACGTGATTTAAAATAAACAGTCGAACAAGGAAAAACAAGTGCATATAGAGTCACATCAAAAGGCAGCATTGATAAGACATTAGTGATAAATGGACCACATGGAAAAGTGATGTCATTAATGACATTTACCATGAATTATTAGAGAGTCGACACTCTAGTTGGTAATCAGATTAACAGGTTTTGGAAAAACAAAGTCAAACTCACATGGCTTCACTGCCTGTTTCTAGTAAACTGAGAATTTTGGAGACATTTTTCTTAATTAGGAGCATAAAAGATGTGAAGACAGCAGTGAAGTTTTTACTTTTACCTGAATAAGAAATTAAACCTTTTTTATGATTATTTTATCATCAGTTCCCATTGATCATTGTCACTTTTTTCATATGCTGCAACATTTAAACCTAAAAAGTCATAATTTTATTTCTTTATACTTCTACCCAGAGGACATAGTATTTGTTTAACACCTGAAGTAAATTACATCCACGCAACTTCAAGTCTTAACTGTGTGTTTTAAAAAAATACTTTGTTCAAATCAGGGATATAAAACACTCTTGACCCTGAGGTTATTACCTGCCCTGATTGAAACTGTTGTGGTTTCTGTAGAAAACATATTTTGTTTAAATTATTAAATAATAATAAAAAAAAAACATGACGTATCCACAAGCAACACGAGGAGTAAAGAAAAGGTAAACGCTGTGATACAACGATTAGAACATGTCCCTTTGTATCCTGCAGTAGAGCCGGATTACAGTACAGACTAGTACAGTACAGTACAGACTAGTACAGTACAGTAAGTACAGACTCAGTACAGTACAGACTAGTACAGTACAGTACAGACTAGTACAGTACAGTACAGTGCAGTATAGTACAGGTTGTTCAGTAGTGTCAGTGTTAATCCTGCAGTACCTGGCTCTCATTTCTCCTGTAGAACTCTCTGACAGTGGTAGACGAGACAGTCAGGAAGCTCAGGCACCGGGGAGCGAAGCCACACGGCCAGAGCTCCAGCATGAACCCGACAGTGCATCAGACACGGCTGATTCTGCAGGAGTCTGCAAGCTAAAATACCCTCCAACCCTGTGGGTAGAGAAAGAAATGTTCATTTTATAATCAGTTTAGACACAACATATGAGCGATGACCCACTACTGCGAGGGCCACTACTGTGTGGGCCACTACTGCGAGGGCCACTACTGCCATCATCATCACATGGAAGGTATATTAATATAAAAAACATTCTTCTTTCTTTTTGTCTTAACTACTTGTTTTAACTGTGTCAATAGTACAAAATGAACAAATAAAATATTTGGTTAAAACAATTGCTTAAATTAGCATGAGCGTTAATCTCAGTATTAAGGCAAGCATTACAATACTTTGTGTACACATTACTGCAGAACTGAAGAAGCCTCTTGGATGAGAGGTGCAACGTCTTCAAGAAACCTACCCCGTCCAGTTGCCCTCGATGTAACTATTTCTGGTTAAGATGACCTGGATGACTGAGAACCTACCCAGACACGTTACTGCAGACTTTGCGCAGATACATTTTTATTTTACCTATGATTTCCACCAAATGGAGCTGAAGTCTGTTCTTCAGCAGATTCAGAGTAAATGTGAGAGGCTCACATCCGTCATCTACCAGTGTCAGGTTCTGCTTCACCTCGTGAGAAAACCCCAACCACATTGTCCCGTATTCCTCTGTGGATATCAGCAAAGGTCTGCAGGGACAAGGGAATTAAGATTAGAAACCAGTGATGTCAGCATTTTAATGTTAAACCACAGTGGACCACTGTTACCTGATGAAGGCTGTTAAGGGGAGTTTGTATGAGAAGTGTTTGGTCTGAGGCGTCCCAGCAGGCAAAAGGAAGGATAACGTCCCATCCACTTCAACATCAACCCCCGGCCTCTTCACAGCCAGGGAATACTGATACACTGCTACAGTGTGGCTTTTAATGTTCTCCACTGAACTGTCTGACACACAGGTAACCTGGGTAAAAAAATCAATCAATCAAAACCTTGTCAATACAAGACATGAGGAAATCACTGCTCTTATTTTGTAGCTCATTACATTACCTTCAGTTGTTCTGATTTAAGATCGAGTCGTATCTGCAGAACTTGAGAATCAGAGGAGTTGGAAATGAAAATAATTAAGATCATGTCATCGCCTTGGTGTACGTGACAGGCTGAGAGCTCCAGACTGTGGGCGGTGCAGAGAGGAGCGATCTCTGAGCGGTAGAGTCCACAGAGCTCAGCCGGGAGATAAGAACTGGGACACAAGTCTGAACGGCTGCCTTGGTCTTCACTCAGAGCAGAGTCAGCGTCTACTAAACCGTTATCCCTGCTGATGGAGAGGTTACTTCTCTTTCTGTCACTCTCGGGTAACCCACAGTCTGTGTTACAGGTGCCGTTGGCAGCAGGGACTCGTGGAGAGAGTTCACACGTCTGTTTAGATGACGCAGCAGAAACTGAGTTGATGTTTGAGTCCTGCAGGTTGTTACACAGTAAGTTATCTACAGCATTAGACACAGGCGCCACAGAGCTGGAGAGCTGCTCCGTGACACCTGGGGCTTGAACTTTGGCTTTTCTTCTTCGATTAAATGTGGAATCAGGTTTCCCCATCTGCGAGAAAACATATAGTGTGAGTCTTCAGATTTGGAAAAGTTGTTTATCATTATAGATAAAACAATTAATATCAATCTTTAATGCTTTATTTTAGAGTTAAAGTAGTGTTCTCCCAATGCTATTTTTTTCACAGACTGATAAAAGCAAGTGGATTTTTATTTTGTGTTTGCTAAATCATATTGATACTTTTTTTGGTTGTAACAATGGTTGAATAAATTGTATAAATGGTTCAATAAATGCAGTGAATATGAAGGTGTTTGAATATTGTTGGTACTAACAAATGGATATTCCATTCCAAAAGAAAATAATCATTCTGTATTTATCAAAAATCTTTAAACAGAAATTGTCATCGCTTTAAACAATACATCAACAAGACTAAGGATAAAATGATATTAAAAATAAAGATACATTAAATATAAATTTCTCCAGTTAACAGCCAGCTGAACAGAACGGGAGCAGAGCTGTTACACTCTGTAACTTGGCGAAGTGATAAGGCCCCCTCTGTTAGCAGTCCCATAAACTGAAAAGAGACATTAGCTTATTCAGCACCAGGGTATGTCTTCGTGTATCAATATTACTGTAAGTCCTTGCTCCTGTCTTTGTCCCTGATGTTAAAAGTCCTTCTAAACTAAAAACTACAATAACGACAATGAGAACTGCAGTAGAAAAACACACAAATACTAGTTTTGATGAAAATATGTTGTCTTAATTTAAATAGTCATTGTTTTAGTCCATGGTTGAATATCCGTGGAAAAGTTAATGAACAAAAGGATTGACCTGAACTCACCAGACAAACGCTGCTCTGTGAACTGACACCAAAGAACAGAGAAGAAGCCAGTTGTTCTTTTTCTCTGTCTGGTTCAGGGGTCGGTGTCGGTGTTGGAGTCTGACTGTGGGAGCCATCACCCTCATTTTGCAGGCTTGGTGAATGGACAGGGGTGAGTCCCTGCACTGGTGCAGCTTCCTCCACAGATTCCTTCTTTGCCAGGTAACCATCCCTGCCCCACACCCGCTGCACTCCGTCCAACTTTAGACTTTGAGTTGAAGAGAGAAGATAAAAACATTCAGTGTGTAGAAATGGCCAAAGAAGAAAGTAGAAAAAAAACACACCAATGCTTCGGTGAACGTGTTCTTTTACCCTGCTCGGTGGGAGACGTCAGTACTGTCACCTGACAGACCAGAGCTCATGGACAGAGGTGTAGGAGAGTGTCTGTCAGTGATGCTGCAGGAGGACATGCTGATGGGCAGCGCCAGGCCATACGGCTCCAGACTCAACACTGATGCAATGACAGTAAGAACAGATCAAAACAAGGGAAGTGAACCTGGTGCCTCACACAGAGGTGTTAGCATTCACAAAGAGAAAGTACCTTTGGCCTCAGCCAGTTCCTCCTGCCGTTGATGGGGAGGCTTGTATGGAGCGGCTCCAGCTGCCAACGCTCCCGACACAAACTCGTCCAAAAATGAGAGAGAGGAGTCAATCTGGAACAAAACAGGAAGGTAAAATCTTCTCTGTTAATAGGCTGTGATGGAAGAAGCCTGCAGAATCAAAATGTTCTTTTGAATACATTAACATCAAGAAAAGATCAAACTCTGCAGCAGGCTTTCATATGTTTACGTGTTTTTCTCCACATGTCACTGACACCAAATGTTGTTCTGCTGTAAACTGCACCCATGCTGCAGGTGCCATGCTAATAAATGTTGTCTTGATCACATTACTGTTTTGGCAAATAATACTAATGAAGTAACAGACTGTGAGTCATGAAGGGCAAGTGTAAGCAAGCTTCTCATCACGTGTTCACACCAGCAGTTCATGGGTACAGTGTGCTATCTCTGTTTACCAGAGATTAATCAACAACCACTGTTTAACATCTATGGTTATTTATAATTGGATTGATTCTGATTATTATTAATTGTTGTTCACTATTTCCAAAGGTACTTTTTCGCTGCAGAGTCTAACTGTCTTATATATTTCACTGGGGGTTTAGTGAAATATATAAAAGTATACCTCAAAATAAGCCCCATAGAAGTGGTGGTTGATAGATAATACTGTGCATCTTAACAGTATCTTGTAGAACCTATCGAGATTTTCTTTTGTCAGTCAGCTTGTCAGTTGTAGACTTACTTACTAGCCTGATGATGGTCTGACGCAAGCTGGGCGTTAAAGACTTCACGAACACATGCAAGGGGTGTAGTTGTTATCCTTGTTCTCACAGAGTGCATAAATGAGAATATGTATCAACTGTGTATTAAAGTAACGATAAAAGGATAGATGGTGGAATTCGTGGGTATACAGGGCCAGTCATTGTGCCCTTCATTTAATGATTTATGTGTTAAAATCTTAATCTCTTTGATTTCACAAATGAATTATTCAGTAACATGTTAGTTTTGTCAACATTAATGGACTCAATAATAACAGTACGTCTGTCCTGCATTATGGTACGTTGTTACCTCCATAGGGTCCAGGCCAGAGTCTCTAGGAAGCACCTCTTCTCTTAGTTCAGAGTCCTGGCTGAGGTGCTGCAGCTCCTGAGCCCTCTGTCTCAGCACCGTGTCCATCGAGCTGATGTATGTTTCAGAAACCTGCTGAGCAACACAAACACCTGCTGTGCCTTCACACAGCTTGGTCATGGCCATGAGGATCCAGCACTTTGTTTCACTGCTGGTTTGCTTCATGTCCAAGAGCTTCTCCAGCAGCCTGAGGACAGTGGACCGGTTGTGGTCTTCACTCAAATGAGAGTATTCCCCGAGGACCTGAGCAGTGCAGAGGTGACCGAGTAACAGAGTCAAGTTGAGTAAAAGTAACGCTTTAGTTTGTAGTTCTTAAATTCAAATGAAGCTAAAAGCAGAGTTTCTCCTTCAAATATTTAGAAAATTAAATAATTAATTAATTAAAAAAAGACCATTACTTGACACTTTTCTCACCTAAAATATATATACATTTTTGTTCTATATACATTTTATTTTATATTTACATGTAGATTTTATACTCTATATCTATAACATGAACCTTTGTACATAAAACAACATTATTGTTTAGACCTTTTTATTCTTTGTGTTTATATTATAAGGTAATTACAATGAAATGTCTAATCAAATATTTGATGATTTCTATCCTTTAGAAAATAAACGAAAACTCACCCAGCTGATGACCTGAAGGAAACACTGTGGCAGTTTTCTAGTCTCTCCTTGCAGCAGAGAAACATATGAATCCACAGCAAACAGCCTCAACTTCCTGTCTTCCTCCACACTGTCAAATCCTGAGCCATTGAAAGAAATCGGGCGTGCAATAAATGAAAATCAGTATGTAGTAAGTAGTGTCAAAACAGGATCATCACAAAAAAAAATGTAATTTTTTTTTTTTCTCACCCTCAGATAACAGCTTAAGAAAACTGTTGGGGATGTCAGGCTGCATTGTGTCTCCACCCAGTGAAAACACTGTGTTCATCGTCTCAATGAACCATTCATTGTCAGGTGCATATGTATGATGTTTATAAGGAAATGAACGCAAGTACTACAAATACATATATATTAATAAAATACACAGACAGTCTAATAATAAATACAAAGGAATTGACTGCTGAGATTGGCTCCAGCCCCAAGCAACATTAAACCTGATGAAATAGTAGAATAAATATAACAAAGATGGTTCCTAAGTCTAAATATATAACATTTAAAGGTAATTTATAAATATTGTATATACTATTGTATATTTATGTTTATACTATTATGTGAAGGGTCAGACATTACAACCTTAATAGCCATGCAGAAACTATGATGCTATGATATATGAATCATTATAAAGCTGACAGTAAGCACACCACAGAGAAGGATATTTCTCAGCCAGTTCTGCCACCTTTCCCACCAGGTCAATGGTAGTGTAGTCATCGGGACTGTTTTGCAGAAACTCCAGCATCTTCTCCACAATAACCACGACGTTCTGTGCATTAGTGATCCGAAACAGCAACTCCAACGTCTACAAGACAAAAGGGAAGCCATTAAAACCCTGTGAAGTTTTTAACACCTGACTCTCAGTTTCACTGCACCAAGCTGAACCAACCTCACGCTTGATAATTAGGTCAGGATGATCTAAACACTCTATGATGGTCATCTGATGCTGCAGGGCCATTTTAGGGTCCTGCTGGATCACATAGGTAAGGGCCTTCAAGCCTGAAATACACCAACAGCATGGACTAGATATAGTAGTTTATTCTGAAGTATTAATAACATATAACGTTAAATGTTTTCTTGAAATCATACCTAGATATTTAAGATTTATATCTGGTGACAGAACAAAGTTCCCAATGCATTTTGCAGCCTTTTCCAAAAGGTTAGATTTGGGATGAATTGTGTAGATACATTTTACACACTCGTACAATATTGCTGAAAAACAGAGAGTGTATGTAGAGTACATTTTAGTTTCACAACTTACATTAGGAATAAGAAGTGTGAATCTAAATGTGGCATACCATAGGTTATGTTACGATTCATCTCAGCTCTTCGCAGAGACTCATCCAGAACTTCATAAATGAGCTCACTTGTTCTGGGGACAGAGGACATACATTAATTTAACTGTTAGATTTTATTTACAAAATAATAGACAACAATGAAACACATTAACAAGTAATTCATGATAATGACAGCAATAACAACAACAATAAGAAGAAGAAGAAGAAGAAGAAGAAGAAGAAGAAGAAGAAGAAGAAGAAGAATTACCTGAGATCATTTTTTCCAAGAAAAGACAATATCCTCAGTAGGTGGATTTGAAGCCATGGAGCAGGAACACTGTGATAATTAAAATCAATGGGCAGCTTTCCACCCACAACCTGCTTTAATATGTTTACAAAACTTCCTGTTAAGTCTTTATAGCCCTCTGGATTTTCCTGTAATGAAAAAAAATGTTACGATATAAAATTTATAATAACATTTTTTATAATAAAATTCCTTTTTTTTTAATCATTTTAATATCAAGAAATACAAACTACCTGGATCATCTGCAGGTAGATGTGCAGGGAAGCTGTCATCACACCCGGGTCTTTGTCACACAGAGCTTTGCGAAACTTATTGTGGATATGTTGAACTTGATTCGGTGCTATCAGGTAGAATTTATAGAGTGCCAGAACCGCCTTACGCCGAATGATTTCTCTACAAACACAAGAAACATGATTTTCCATGTAATACTTGTACTAACAGAATAATGTGCTGAATAAACAATGGGCACATCTTACTTTGGGTGATTAAGTTTTTCCTCCACCAGGGGGAGGATGGCAGGGATCATTTCTTTGGGGAAGATCTGGCTGACAACAGTTAGAGCCATGCAGACTTCAATCAGGTTAGTGCTTTGTAGATCCTGAAAATAAAAAGAATTCAACAGTTTACATTTTCTTAATTTAGAATTAAAATTACACAGCTGGAGAAAAGTACAGACCTTTAATACAGTGTTTACAAGAAGAAGCAGTAGTTCATGACTTTCATTCAGAAACAATGACACAGCAAGGTAACCTGAAACACAGAACAGCACCAATTGGCTTTACGTAAGCGTAGAAGGATAGAATTTCATTATATTTGAATGTGAGTATTAAAAAGTATGTTTTGTCAATTGTGATGTATTTAGATCTACTGGATGCTGGTACTTTGTTTTGTTTTTTCAGCTCTCTAAAATCAATCTTACCAACTCTTTTCTCCAGCGCTGTGCCCTGCTGAGCCAGTTTGATGGCATGAATGTAGACGAAAGACGCTTCATATCCCAGACTTTCACAGTAAATGGCCCTCACCATCAACTCCTTCATCTGCCTCTGCAGCACAACATGACATTAGAGAGAGGACAATAAGACCCTGGACATATACAGAGTAATCCCAGTCAAAGGTGATGAGAGTGTTACCATGGAGGTGTTGGGGGAGGACACTTGTTCTTTAATAGATTCCAGTTCACGCTGAATAAGTTTCTCTTCCTCCTGAACAGAATAATAACACAGTCAAGACTCTAGGAAGTTGATGCAACTACATACACTTTTCAATTCTGGGGCCAGAAACCAGCTTCAATTAACACAAGGTATATAAGGCAATACCTACCATTCTGAATTTTGCTTTTTTTTTTTTTTTTTGCTTTCTATTTATATTTTTTAGCCATCTGACTTCAGATAAAGGTGGCGTTTACACCGGACAGGCCATTACTTCATCACAGAGCCACAGACAGAGAAAAGGAAACATATGCACTAATATTGAATATATGGTAAATTCGAGAAATTAGAGTAACCTACTACAGAGTAATCCACTACATGCATATTTTGTAAGAGTAAGGTTTAGTATTGTTTCCATCTGTAACATGATCTGTGGATCATACAGTATTAAGTACGTAATGGCAATAAATATACACACTATGTTTGTTTGTTTTTTTGTATTCAAGAGTGTTCTCTGGTTAGTTTTTTTACAGAGCATTTTGGCCACTTCAACCATGGTTTCCTCTGATACATTTGTGACATCTAGTGGTAGAGGTAGTGTGTTTATCCGGTGACAAAGCATGCAATAGAACAAAGGCAGCTGTTATTTTGACCAACGTGGACTAATACAATGTAAGTGTGATTAAAATGGCAATTTCAATGGATTTTTCCCCTCGAATCTTGTAGTTTGTCACAATTTACCTCTGAATACCGTCAACGATTTTTCCGAGCTTTTTACACGCACATTAACGTACCACCACAGACTCCAGTTTTTTGTTTTGTTTTTTTTTTTTGACAGTCCTGTTTCCAATTTAACTATAAATATCAACAACAACAACACAGCATATTAATTAATACCTTTAACAAGTGTTAAAGTGCTAAAACACAAGCAATTTGTAGCTGGTGTGAAGTACAAACATGTAATTTAAGTGTGTTTTTTAGGTTAGCAAAGACAAGCTAACAAGCTAACGTCAAATAAAGAGACAGAAATGTGTTTTTCCAAAGGAGACTTACATGTTTGGACGTTAGCTCTGTGATTCCTCTGATGAGGTTTCCCAGTTTGGAGGTGGAGGACAATTTAGCAGGTCCAGGCTGAGAGTCTAAAGACAGAAGACTCGGCAGGGCTGTCAGTGTTTTCTCCCCAACATAGCTCATTTTTGCCGGAGAGGGGGGCCTTGGAAGCTGATTTATTTCTTCAGGAAGTCCCTCATTAAAACGCCTATCATAACAACAGAGACTGTCTTACACAGACCATAAAAGCAGGCTGCTAAACTGTTCTATACACGATGACTAGCGTTGAAGCCAACACTACACTGTCGGTCAGCCATTGTTGTTTTGAATAAACTTTATTGAACAGTACAAAAATCAGGCAAGTGCGCCATCTAGTGGAATCCGCCAGCCGTGGTTACACAGTAATCATGGCGGAATAGTCAATAACAATTACAAAAATATCTATAAAATAAGAAACAAAAACTAATTTATCTCACAAATTCATGGAATTAACGAAAAATAAATGTGCATGACCAAGTGCATTTGCAGTAAAGAGCCTCTGGTAGGAATTTCTAAATAGGTAATGTTTGGATTCAGCAGAGGAGCTTCACTGATTACATTTACTTCTGGTGAATTTCAAGCAAAATAAAAACAAATGATACTAGCAGCTGTGATATTCAAAACTCAGTTTATTATGTTTGCAATATTTTGATAATCAGTCCCTTGTATAACTGTACACTAAACTACAATAAAATACTTACAATAAATATGAAATTACAGCCATTGGACAACAGCATGAGAGGGAGTACATTCTGGGATTTAAATTTGGAAACTACTGGGGCACAACAGGGTAGAGACTGAATGTGCACGGCGTGCAGTGAATAGTTATCACAGCAGGAAAAATTTATGTTTCATATGTTGTTCTGAAAATTGACGTTCTCACAATAGAACTGGAACATGAGTTACTAAAATGAAACAACAGGTCTAGAATAAAACACAAATACATTGTCCTAGAATTACTTAAGTAGGAAATTACATTTCTTTATGTGACATTTTTTGTTACTTGTCATTCACTGTGTAATTGTTTGTTTCGTTGCCCTTGCCTCAATTTTTTTTTGTGCAAAATATTAAAAAAGGAAAAGTGGTCAAGTACAATACATCACCTCTTGAAATCTACACTGACTCTTAAGTCTCTACCAATTATATTTTCAGAAAAGTACATTTGACTTCTTAAATGTTTTTTGTGCAGTTTTGGGTAATACAAGCGTGGCGTTTGGTTTTCTAACTGTACTGGAACATGTTAACCTATGGCCATTAGACTGGGCTATATACAAGTGTGTTAATATGCTGTATGTATGTACATCCATGACTGAGTCTCTGTAGCTGTGATTGTACTCTAGCAACCAAAATAGTTGGCCTGTCGTCTGTGAGTCTGTCAAACATTTACTTTTCTGCGTCTTCATCCTCAAGCCCAGATCTGGAAACAGAGAAACCAGGGCAGTTAGAAAGGTCACCACAAAGTTCACTTTTCGTCTGGTTTGTCGTTAGAGGAGTAAAAAAAAACTTGGTACCCGCAGAGTGTGGTCCCAGGAACCTGTGCAGAACGCAGTGCCATCAGGAGAAACTCGCAGGGTACTGACACGGTTCTCATGGCCAAACAGTATAGAAACCCGAGTTCCTTTGAGAACATCCCAAACATTGATGGTGTAGTCGTTGTAGCCACCAAACAGTAGCCGACCTGCACAAAAACAAACCTTTTAGCAGTAATTAAGACTTTTACTGTTGGTTGTTATGCAGTGCTAGCGGTGGATTATTGTCCTCAGGGATTTTAGGGTTTTTTTTAATGCTGGTTCTTTGTTTTCAACCAATGGGGAATATGTTAAAGTAGGAATAAGAACACATCTTACCACTGAGAGAGAAATCCACACTAGAGACTCCAAATATGATGCTCTCTTTGGAGTAGATGGCCACTTCTCTGTCAGCCCTCAGGTCATAGAGGCGACACTGAAGCAAAGATCTTAATGTTAAAGTTTGATTCACAATTATATTGAACACAGTTTGCAAAGATCAAGAATAGGAAATATACACTTTGGCTCCACTTTTTGTATTTCTTTTCAGCTTTTTATATGTTATCACAATACGTACTGTGGCATCATCTGAGCCAGAAGCAAATGCATCTCCACTTGGATAGTATCTGTGGAACACATAGTCAGACATCAGTCTCTGTATTGGTAGGATTCCTTAGAATATATCTAAATTATAGTTATAATTAATTTAAGATAATAACCAAAACCTACCGCACACTATTAATATCTGACTCATGAGTTTCAAAGGACTGGATGCACTGTCCTGAACGCATGTCCCACACATTGGCCTTTTTATCACAGCCCTGCAGAAACATGAGACAAATCGATCGGAATACAGGAGGTTATTGCTTAAAAAAAAACAGTAAAATAAAGGAAACAAAAACACCTGAGGAACGAGAGCTTTTACCCCTGACACAAACGTGTTTCCAGTCTCAGAGGGAGCAAGATCCAGACACAGCACATCTGCTGCATGTCCATGGAAACTCTGCAACAGCTGACCACTCTCAACATCCCATAATGCACAGGTGCCATCCCCACTAGATGTTAAGATCTTTGTCACAAAGAAGAAGGAGAAGATCAGGACACAATAAAAGTGAATGTAAGATACGACATAGCTATAAACACATTGCAGTGAAGGCACTACTAACTGAAAAGAAAAGTTGTGTTTTATTTCCTAATACCAAGCACAACATCAGATGTGAACTGTGATTTTAAAACTGTTTTGGCCAAAGACTCTCTCTAATCCTGTGATATAATTTGTTTTGTTTTTTTTCATTCAGTGCATTATCACATATTTGGGTCTTTAAACTCAGGGAACATTTTCCCAGATTCCAGAAAAGGCAATAATTTATCAGATTATAGTTGAATATAGTTAACCACCAAGAGACGATATCAGGGATTATCAGGTACAGTATATACTGTAGGCACAAATGTCTCAAAAGTCAAAAGTCAGCCATTTCAAACTTTGTGTCATTATTTTGGGCAATTTTCTGTCATACTTTCAACAGGACTATGTATTATATATATATATGTATATAGATATATATATATATATGTGTGTGTGTGTGTGTGTGTGTGTGTGTGTGTGTGTATTACCATGTCTTTAAAAAACCCTTACCTGCATATCAGAGTTGGTGAAGCTACAGGCAGACAGGTAGTTTGTGTGCATGGCCACTGACTTCTTTTTAGCAGCCAGGTTTTCATTCTTGTCCAGGGACAGAGGATACACAGAGCACTTGTTGTCTAGACCACTGCGGCAAAAAACAAACACATTTTATTCATAAATAAAAACAAACACGTAACAAAGTTTTTGAAGACGATGTAGGCCATCATTGGTAGTTCACACACTTACCCACAGGCTACAGCACAGCCAGATGGGGCATAGGCACAGGCCATAACCCAGGTGCAGGGCATTGTCACAGCGTGTTCCTAATGAAGAGGAAACATCAAGTATGTATGAGCTGCACAGGAAGAAGAATCACTTCAGCACAGACGTGATGACACTGAATGGAGCTGTTACCTTGTTGGTGGTGAAAGCATCCCATACAATCACTTTTCCATCCTGTAAAGAAATACGAACTTGAATGTCTTGTGTGTTGATAACCTAATTATATGATTAAATATAGCAGAATAAAAATATATATTTATAACAATAAGCAGTATCCTTTTGGAAAAAATAAATAATACAAACAAATGACTATATAGAAACTACTCCAACATGACGGTACATTTGGCTAAAAAGTAACAAGTTCTGTTGAGAGAGAGTAGAGTCGTGACCTGTGAGGAGCTGACGATCCTCCTCTTGTCCTTACACCAGTCCATACACAGAACCTTGTTTCCATGTCCTTTCAGAGTCCTCCGGGTCTTCATGATGAACTGTCCAAGTCCTTCCACCTTCTCTGCCACCTGGTGTACTGCACACACACACACACAGGCTTACAGCTTTAATTTGATATATACAAGGGTTATTGGTAAAAAAAATCACCTATGAAAACCAAGGCAAAACTAATTTTTAAATGGAATATTAAATAATTTGACTTTGACTCCAACTATAATCAGACATTTTAAAACCGGACCTAATGCTTTATTAGGACTAGTTTTTTGTAGCATCATTAAGGACTACAGGTCCTAATGTTTATGTAACACACTACATTTCTTTACATAGCATTAAATGCTTACACCATCCACCATTACTACTGGCCGCAATCAGGCTTAAACAGAGGCAGGCTTCTAATAAAAGTCGGGATTATAATCTGGTCCTCAGACCGCTTTTACGATCGTCTTATAACAACACACAAACACACACCCAGGCCATATTGCTGAGACATGGTTGGACTGAACCACTGCAAATAAGGTGGGCGCACTGGAGTGTAAAAAACACAGTGAGGCAAACAAACATCCAGTCGAATGTGGATCAAAGTCGGTCCAGTTCAGATCAATAATCACGGGGCACACATTCACACCCGCCTACAGATGTGATTCGTAGACTGATATGTCAGTGCTGTGTGCTGTCATTTGTCAGTCAGTCCAAGTGTAAAGGCAGCGGAGGAGGATGAATCGAGGCCTCTCCATTTTCAACACTCACGCTCGACATCGTGCAGCTTGGCTCTCTCCTCCTCCAGCTTCGACTTCAGGTTCTCCGACTCCGTCTTCAGATGAGCCAGAGTCTCATTCAGCTGAACCTCCTGTGTGGCCATTTCAGGGCTTAGAGGGGATCTCATATATTTCCTCTGAGCAGACAGCGATTGGAAGCGAAAAAGCTTAAAGCGGAGCTAACAGCTGATGCTGCTGTCATGACGTCAGAGGGAGAAGATGCTCCCACAGCTTCCAGCAGGGAGGAGGGGGAGGAAGAGGAAGAAGAAGAGGAGAAGGGGGAGAATCCTGTATCCTGGAGATGATGCTTTTCCACTCTGGCTCCATCCTGCATGTAGCATCTTGACGTATAACGACTATGATAAAGGGTGCAATATTTACACGACGTCATTGGGATTTATATTTCTGTTCGAAAATATGAAGAATATTCAATGGTTTGGAGTTTTTCATCAATAACCTTTTTGTTGTTTTAATAAAGGATAACGACCACCATATGTTCTCCAAACATCACTCTCTGTTTTAACTAGTCATGTTATGGGTTAGTGAAAAATTGAAATTCAGGCTGGTCTAGATCAGAGATAAGGTGCTACTAATGTTCCATGTTGTGTGAAGTTGGACGTCAGACTGAGTAGTTTGAAAATTGTTATACAAAGCTGGATGTTATGACTTAATGAAATACATTTAATCTAACTGAATTTGCATGCAAGTTGAATATATGTTGATATAAATGTTTTGACATCACAGCCTTAAAAAACGTTTCAAGTAACATTTAAAATACATATGTTGTTTTTTACACTTTTATACATAAAATATCATACAGACACAGTCCATTGTAAAACACTAGGTAGACCTGAAGTCTAAATGTGTCAAATTCTGTTGAGGAAACCCAGATGAAGACTGTTAGGGACCTGCAGCAGCTCCAAAGCCTGTGAGGAGGCACTGAAAGGAAACATGACCTGAAAACGGTAATCTGTGTCCAGCATCAACTGTGTGGAACCTTCGCGATCCTGGAGTAAAGACTGCAAGCAAAGGAATTCAATGGACATTTTAGGTCAAATGACTTACTGTACTAACATTTAAATTAACTAAAGATCTTACCTGAACTTTGCGGACAAACGACGACGAGACTCTTTTCTCAAAGTCATCAATAGGTGTGTATGAATTCAAAATTTTGACAATCTACAAAAACAAATACCGTTTATTACTGTCATACCAAATACAATAATGACCCTGTGTGTGGCGTGGAGCTAAGACAACATACCTGAACAGGGCTGAGCTCGGTGCACTTCTCGTTGATCTCCTTGGCGTCTTCATCTGTGGACTTGTTGACCTGCAGCAGCCAGGCAGCCTGAGACAGTGGCCTTAAAGTGTCCATGGCATTAGATCTCTGAAGTTCCTTCTCCTTCAGCCACTCCTCCAGATAACTAATGTTACACCTAAAGGAAGGGGAATTCTATAAAACCATGCATTTTAAAAATTCTAAACCTTTAATATCTACACCAGAAAAGCAAACTCAGACCTTATCTGCATCCCCTTCCTGCAGGAACACATATCTTTGCGAAGCATTAGGTTGTTGATGGTCGTTGCACCCACTTGGAAGAACATTTGCTTGATGGCCTGGTTGATTAAGCTCTGGCTCATGCCATGTTGGTTCATGGTAGAGTGGAAATAAGTGAGCTGCTGAATGATGGAGGAGATGGTGAAGGTCTCTGAGTCCTCGTAGATGCTGTTGGAGCGTTTTCTGAAGCCTGTGGGCTTCATGCTGGAGATCCCCTGTAAACTCTCGTACTCTAACATACCAGGCACTGAATGTGAAGAAGGAGAGGAGGAACATTTAGGAGAGCTAATTTGGTACACTGGGAGTGATATCAATAGACAATGAGAATTACCAATTGCAGGATTAATATTCTTTTCCATGACGGAGATTAACTGATGGTAGATGTGGATGGACAAGTCACTGATAATCTGCCTGTGCTCTGATAAGTCAAAATTCTGCAAGCAATTCTTTTTCTGGCGAGGTGTATTATGTTTCATGAACTCCTTTAGAGAACAGAAGGTACAATATTATTGAGACCGGTCTGCAGCATTACATAACAGCCCAAAACCATAGTGAGAATCCAAACCTCCTCTCCGCTGTACTGCTTCAAACAGTTGAGCAGCTGGTACATGTTCGAGAGCCAGAAGGACAGCAGCTCAAAGTCTTTGTGGAAATTCTAAAACATAAAAAATGTTGATTTTCTGCAACTACAATGTACTTAGACGATTTCTTTACATTTAAATATATAAACCATTTAATGATAGATTAAACTGATGCCATCAAATCCTACAACGAGGAATAATATTCGTCTTATATAAAACTCTGTGTTTGTTTATCAGATACATTAAAAAGGTATTACAGTGCTCCTCACCATGATGACTTTTTTCACACTGCTGATGATGGCGTTCATGAGGGACTTCAGTTTGGCTTCATCGTTCAGGTAGTCAGCATAACGCACACACATAAAGAGGACGTAAGCAGGCAGACCTGGGATCATGTTGACCACCACTCCTTTGGGCTTCAGGTCTTAAGAAAAGGGAGTGAACATTTTTGACAAATGATAAGAGGCTATTTGCGTTTTTCTATTTTCTATTGCAGTGCTGATTTTTATATAATTTATATTTATAAATTCTTGAAAGCAGCAGAGTGATGGGACATAATAAACTGAGGAACCTACTGTCAAATAGCATGTGCCCCTTTGTTAGGAAATATACTGCATGGCTTGACTTTTCAATTGATTATATGTATTATATATATATTATTTTCACACTGAGTGCAGCTTTTTTTCTGTTAAAATACATGTGAAATATCCATGTTTTCTACTGATACCAACATCAATATCAACACTCTGTTAATTGCAGCATCCCGAACACAGACCACCTAGGATTTGCTTCAAACCTGCTGAAAACCTCTGAACTGGTAAGTAGAACTAGTAGGAAGGATAAATACCCAGAATGATGTTCTGGATGAGCCTGTTCTCGTCATCTCTCTTGTACTCCAACATGCCCAGGTATTCTTTAGGAATGCTGGGTGTAGGTGTTTGCTTGGCTGCAACATGTGAAACATCAAGTTATCCATTTATATATTATTTTACAATAACGTGTGAAATCCTGAACGCTACCTCTCTGGGATGATGTGAGGCTCTTTATTTCATTTTGAAGCTTCCTTATTAGTCTGTCTTTGTGATCGAGCTGCTCTTCATAATCCTACAGGAAACACAAAATAACAGGCACAACGTTTATCAAAGGTTAGTTAGTGTAGTTAGTGTAGTGTAGTTAGGGTAAGTGTTTTCTACCTCTGCATACCATGTTCTCAGCAGTGAGTTGTGAAATATCCTCTCTCAATTTGCTCCTAGCTTCACTATCCATCAGCTGCTGTTTCTTCAAGTGTTCCTTCTCCTCCTCCAGGTCCTCCACTCTACCCTGGAGTTCACACTTAACCTCCTCCAACTCCTCTGTTTTGTCCTCAAAGTGCCTAAAATTAGCCACAGTGAGACATACTCAGAAATCACATCTTCAATCAGGAAACAAATTCCATCGATAAAGGTATATTACCGTCGCAGTGAAGTCTCTTCCTCAATCTTTATTTGATGAACGTTAGTGATCTCCTCTCTTTTTTCTTTCAAACAGCATGTCAAATATGTAAAAAGTTCAAACTACTCTGATACAACAACATCTAAATTCTCAGATAAAAACATCAGATCTGCTGCCTCTACCTGCTAACTCTCTGTTCTTCTCCTCTACATTGACCTCCAGTTCCTTCTTCTGCCTCTGCAGCTCTGAAATCTGTCGTTTTAGCTCTGGTATGAACTAAAAATAATAGAAGAGCTAAATCAGTGTTATGTCTCAGAAAAAATAAAGAGATAACTAATCAGAGGACTCACTGAGTTCTCACTGTTGAGTCTGGACACTTCTTGGCGAATATTCTCATTCATGTCACTTTTCTCCTGGAACAAAGTTTGCAGTTTGCTGTTTTCATTTTGAAGATGTTCCACTTTTAAATGAAGGCCCTCCAGCTGGCTCTTATAGCTCTCCTTCTGCTCCCTCTGGTGGTTTTCCAGCACTCTGCCAAAGAAGATGTATATAATATAACCAGAGAAGTTTCGCAGCAGTTCAGGGAGACTCTTCTAAAGAATAATTATACATCCTGTTCACATCAATAATTTAACAACGGACCTTAGCATGTTCAATTATTGTAAATTTATATCTATCCCAAGAGATTATTTGCTGTTACATAAAATCCATCTCCCATCTGCATAGCTTCAGAAAAGGCTCGTACCTGGTAGCTTTCTGCATGCATTCAAAAGCTCTTTCCAAATCTTCCACCTCATTGATCTTCCCATGATCATTTGAAATAAAGCTTCAGAGAAAGAAAATTACACTTTTACACAGGATACATAAAGCGAAAAAAGATTATTATTAATAAACTGCATTACCCTAAAAGAACCTCCTCCTCAACAACTCCACCGAGAAGTTGTCTTGTAATTTCGTTCATTTTTGCTGCATTGAGAAAATGTAATTTTAAGCTCAACTAAAACTTTCTGTAATAATGAAATTCACGATTCATGGATATTTGTACCTCGTGCTTGTTCCGACTGATCTTTCATCATTCGGTCCACGTTGTTTTTCTGATTGTACAGGGTGTTCAGTTCTTTGCGCAGCTCTGGAATAGTCTTCACATGTTTTGTGAGCTGGACAATCTGTTCCTGCAGGTCAGAGTTCAACTGACCCTCCTCCTCTATTTTTCTTTGCAGAGTGACTCTCTCCTCTTTCAGTTTCTTTAACTCCTCTTTGAGAGTTTCCACCTCCTTCTCCTGGTCCTGTTTGAGGATCTCGATGTTGTTCTCTGCAATCCTGCAAAAACACTATTCATTTACAGTCTGAAAAATTTAACAATTTGAGTGTAGACAACTTTAGTGTTGATACGTACTTTCTTAGTCTAGCTTCATTTTCTTTCTCATCAAGAAGACTGCTCTTCATAAGATGAAACTTTTCTGTGAGAGAGTTAAGGCTCTTAAACATAGCACAGATAAATGAAGTGTCATGCTGTGGTATTTGTGTTTGTTACCTTTGGCTTCTTTGATTAAGACTTCAAAATTTTCCTCTAAGTTTTTTTTTTCGAGAACCAATTCATTTATCTGCTTTTGAAACTGTGTAGTTGTCTGAAACAATCACATCCAACAAAATTCAATTCACCACAAAAAGTCACTAGGAGCTAAAGAGTATGAATCAAAGTAAAGACTGACCAGAACCACGTCTTCCTTGACCTTTTTCTCTCTTGCTTCCAAAGACGCCTTCTGAGTGTTTAATTTTTCCAACTGGGCCTCCATGCCCTGAAGTCGGTCGACAGTTTGAGAGTGCGTGTTGGCCAAAAGGGTTAGTCTTTCCATCAACCCCCGATTCTCTTTATTCTGTCAAGTGACAACGTTTCACGTTGGGTCAGTTTATTAAAGAAAGTCAGACTGGTGATAACTTTGAAAAAACTTTGTACCTGCTCTTCATTCTTCTTCCTGAGCTGCTGAACTCGGTATGAAAGCTGAACATTGAGCACCAGTCGACGCATCGTTTGAAATCTTCGTCGAACCAGCCAGGCTCTGGCATATTTCTGTAGAACCAGAGCCTTGTGCTCCTCTAACATCTGCAAGGAAACATTAATGGCATGTGATAAATGTCTGTGATTCACAGTACAGCTAATGGACACAATCCAACAAAGAAATTCATCATCCTAAATTTTGTATTTGTATTTATTAATTATATCTGCTGACCTTCTTGTAGCGTTTCCGGGCCATCCAGCCTCGCGTAAAGGCCTGGATGGTAATAGAGGCCAGACGGACCAAGTGATAGATCTGTCTGGTGCGATAACCTCTCCAATACCTTTGGATTACCACTGCTGCCCAACCCTTCTTCAGCGTCTCAGCAGTCACCATTTTTCTGTAAAAAATTTAAATTGTGTTAGTGAAAATGTGAACTTTTATTGTGGACATGTCATAAATTTAATTAAAAAAAGGTTATAACCGGATAGTCTTCTTCCCACGGATGTACTGCTGGAGGATGATAGCTGCTTCTCTCATACGGAGATACTTTCTTCTTTGGATCCAACCTCGGAAGAATTTCTGGATAGTTATGCTTGCTTTGCGAAGTCTGTCCAAACGCAGCTTCTCCAGATAAGCTACTTGTCCAGCTCGAAAGAAGATCTTTGTCCGACCAAACTTGTACTGGTTGGGGTCCTGGAGATCATTATGAGGTCAAAATGATATGCACACATACAATATTGTGCACAGTACATAATGAATGGGAATGAATGCCTTAACATCTAAAGTGTTAGTTGACCTGAATGAGTCTCTGTAGCACATTTTTGCAGGTCTGCTTTTTGTCACCGACATCACTCTCCTGATGTGTCATTAAGATACTGTAGCGGCTATAAAACTCAATGTATGTCCACCTGCAAACACAGAAGTAATAATTTACATACAACAGTGAACATATACAAATGCATCACACTAAAGGTAATATTAATTCACATTAAGTAAATAACCTGGACGGATAACTCTGCGCACTGATATGAATGGTTTCCAGAACTCCACAGGCTCGCAGCTGCTGCACAACTCTCCTGGAGTCATATCTTGAACAAATACAAAATAAACTACCAGATCTAAACCATACACTCAACAAACAAAGTGGTTGATGTATGGGGTTGCTTGATTTACACTCACTCAAATGGGATTTTTTCATCATTTGGTTTAATGCAGCGTACGTAGTGTGGGATGGTGGCATTCAGTGTTTCCATGAGTAAAGACAGAGAGCTGGAGAACTAGAGTTAACCGACAAAATGAACACAGGTAAATGTGTAAAGCCTCAATGTTTTTTTTACACACTGCAAATTGAGGACTGTTGCTGCCAGTGTCTGCCAGTGAGCAGTGACTGAGTAAACAACTCACCTTATCTCCCACAGAAGTTCTCAGCTGTTTATTGGTTGGTTTCACCCCAGGTCTGGCAGGCCTCACTTTAATGCTTTTACTGCTAACAGCGCTTTGCTCCTCCTCTCGAAAGAACTTGGCCACAAAAGGGAACTGAGAACATGTGACCAGAATAACAAATAACATACCATTTAACAATATTTTAAAAACACATTCATACTGAGTAAAGTAATTGGCTTCTAACTCATTTCCAGCATTTTCCCCCATGTTTCCCCATGTGCATTTGTACAAAAACATTTAGAGAAGGAATGCACAAGGTCAACAACTACACAATAATAGTCTACATGTCTACTGAGCTTGTGGTTATAATGCATCATTCTTTACCACTAATCTTAAATTTTCTTCCATTTGAAGACTGAACAACAAATGTAAATAAATGCTACCTCACTGTCCCTCATGATGTCTACCAGCTCTTCATACAGAGTATCTCTGTTCTTTTCCAGGAACCCTCCACACTGATACTCCACCTGTTCGGAGGGAATAAATGTTTAAAATAGTACAACAGATAATATTATGACAGGTGTGCTTTGGGCAACAGGTCTACATGGGTCACCAGACTGCACCTTATCAGCAAAGTGTTGTATGACAAAAGCCTCATTTGAAAACCTGGGTCTCTCAAAAAGAGGACTGGAGTCTAGATAATTGTGCAACTTTTGTAGCCAACTTTGGTCAGTGCCCTGAGGAAACTGGAAAGACAGACAAAGAAAAAAAAGATCCAATTTAAAATTGTAACCAAAAGTTAGAATTAGAAAAAATGGGTGAAGTCAGCATGAGCTAACCAAACATTCTTCATTCAGCAAGTCCAGAATCCCCATCTTTGCTTCAATCAGGTCAATGACGGGCTGGTTGTCATAGAAGTCTATAAGTGTCCAGGGTATGTCCTCCTTCATGTACTCCTCCTGCTCCAGCTTGAACACATGCTGACAGATCAAAAACACAATACAGTGAGTAACACAGAGATATTAGTGGTGGGTTTTGTTGTGAGCTGAAGTTATTGTTGTTACCAAGTTGAACTGCTGTTGAAGCTTTTCATTTGCATAATTGATACAGAACTGTTCAAAGCTGTTGATGTCGAATGTCTCAAAGCTACAGACAGAAGGAAAAAAAGCATAATTACAGCAAATTAATAGCTTTATTAATGTATATATGTTTCATGTTTAGTTGTGTTATCTCATCACAACCCATCTTATTTTAACAGACCTGATGTATAGGCCAATGTATCTTACCCATAAATGTCCAGAACACCAGTGAAAGCATGCTGCTTCCCAGGAACCTGCAATGCTGTATTAATTTTGTGTATAATGCAGTCAAAAAGATGTGCATAGATGTGTTTCGCCAGGGCATCTCTGGCATTGACTGCCCTCTCTTTGGGCATAGGCTTCACCACTGTCTCTGCCATCAACACTATCCTGCGGTGGCACAGCCAGTGGACCAACCCTTCTCTGCTCACAACCAGCAACTCACAGCAGACAGACAGGTGTGGATCACTGGGCTGCAAGATATAGACAAGAAGTCAAAAGATGAAGTCATAGCTGGTTGATGTTGGAATTTTAGATAAAGCAGAAGTAGATAAATAAATAACTGAATTAATACATAAAGAAAAATACTTATTTAAATGTAAAAAATACTTACACTGACTGATGATTTCTCATTTCCTGAACATTTAATCTCTATGTTTCCCAAATGCAGAATAGCTGCCAAAACTTTAAAGACGTCAGACTGAAAGCCCTCCTTCAATCCTGGAGAAGCAGAGAGAAGGAGTGAAACCAAGATGACATTAGAGGTGAACAGCCTGAGGACTGAGCTTCTTCTTACCCAACATTGAAAAAGTCCGTTGAGTCTCTTCCATGTCTTTCATGTCATCTACCCCTTCAATACTGATGTCACCACCCATGGATGTGTACTGGAATTTATCTGCACTCACTGCAGGTGAAAAATGTTACATATTCAATAGAAATCATTAGGCCAGTCATTTTTCCTAAAATGAATCAGATTCTAATTTTAAACAGATTTTAACACATGGGCAAAATGGCATGTACTGTATTTCCAATAATTCCACCATCCATCCAATTATAGTTGTTCAGTCAGTACACGTGTTATTTTTAAACATATCAAATGCCTAGTTTACATCAAACCAGCCTCACTGAGCACAGGGCAAGACGTAAGTCGACGGCTAACAAGCTGACTGACTGACTGTTTAAATCACTAAAAGATCAAACATGCACTGATACTCACACAGTCTTAGGTCCTCAAACTCTGGCAGATGAGCACAAGCACAAAGCTGGTAAAAAATGTGATAATTCCTCTCATTTTCAGCCTAGAGGAGAAACAATCAACACTTTTTTTAAACATTTGTCTAAAAGGTACATAGGTGGTGATGGTACATAGAAAATAAAATCAATTTTCATTCTTAAACCATACCTGAAAAACAACTCTGGATTTCTCGAGGAGGTAGGTTCTCATATTTGCTCCAATGATCTGGTATCTCTTGTCAAAACTGATTTCTGTATATTTTCCAAATCGGCTACTGTTGTCATTCCTGGTGGTCTTTGCATTTCCTATTGCCTGAAGGAAAAAACCAAGCCCTCAGTAACTAAACAGATGTTACATTAACGAATATGAAAACATGGAACCAGAGAGCTTTCTTGTGAGACATATGGTCCATTAATATCCTACCTCTGTTACTGGGTTGGATGCCAGGACTTTGTCTTCAACGCGAGTCTTGCTGCCAGATTTACTCACAACAGCAAAGTACCTCATGGCATATCGAGCGGACACGGTTTTACCTGCTCCAGATTCTCCACTGACAATGATAGATTGGTTCTTGTGGTTCCTGTGAAAAACAATTGTATCGTAAAATATTATAACTACAGAGTACCTTCTTCTTTTTTGACTTTATCATTTTTTTATCACCTGACCTGGCCATCTGTTTGTAAGCCTCTTCTGCTACAGCAAATATATGAGGGTCTATGTCACCCATGTTCTGGCCTGAGTAAGCATGAATGATTGCATCTCCATAGATTGGCAGGGATTTGTAAGGATTTACAGCCACCAGTATAATACCTAAAAATGAGATAACATTACAACCAGATATGTTAATAAAAAAAGTAACCAACAACCTATTACCTCCAGCGATGGAGTATACTGTACTTTAAATTGTTTAGTTTTCACTATACCACAGTAGGTGTAGATGATTTTGGACTCCACAAATCGCACTTTGAGATTGTGCAGCACAGCAGGTTCATGAAGGTAACTGAGGGCAGTGAGGTCATTCTCCCCAACCAGGATGTCTGGGTTGCGCAGTGGAGGCAGTTGTGGTTTTGCTGGGTCAACAGCATAGTGCTGCACCTTTAGCAGTAACAGGTTAGGTACAGTAAAAAATCAGCAGGTCAGTTCATACCATAAACCCATGTGACAGCTTTATGAGTCACATTGTACTTACAGTGCAGTCCTCGAGAAGCAGCTCCAAAACATTATCTCCTGAGTTAAAATCTCTGACAATCTCAGCTGATTTCCACACATGTTTAGCATCTGGAATCCACACTCTGTTGTACTACCAAGGAAATGTTGCAGTATGTATCAAATAACATTTTCATTACAATGATGACATGAACACACATTAATATTGCAATGTTAATAATATAATATCAATCAGTGTCAATATACAACTGGTGAAAAATATAAAATATTTTAAAGTGCTACATGAAATACATAATTACCTAGCCAAAAAGTGTCTTGTCGTTTGGTATTTTAAATAACATTTGTGGGTAAAAAGTTTCCAAAACCTCCAACAAATTTAGTAGAATATTGCTTGGAATATTGCAATTAGCTTAAAGTCAGACATAAATAAATCAAGATCTGATAAACTCAGTAAAACAATAGTATTAAAAATATACCGAACAGACATCTAAAACCTAGCCAAAATATATATAAAAAGAAATCGGTGCGTTAAATGGACACAAAGACATGCACAAAAAGTTTACTTTTGATAAGTGGGCTGGGTCTGCTAATAAACCATTCAGTCAGAAGTCAAATACATACATGTATCTTAGACGTGTTGTAAAATTAATAAAGAAACAAATCTTTTTAACAGAAACAATGTATTATAGAAGGTTGGTGATGTAAAATGCGTTATAGCACTGAAAAGTGTAAAGCGTAAATGAAAAAGTTTTTTCCCTCTTCTTTTAAATGATGACGTATGTTAGTTACCATAATTACCAATACTTCGAAAAACATATTTGCATAAAACAGTCTCGCTTCATATTTTTACACAACATAACTAATTGTTATTTTGGTTACTGGAACGTTACTAAATAATTGTGACGTAATGTCATCAGTTCCTAAGTTCCTATACATCTCTGTAGAGTCAGTCTCTGTGGAGGGAGCACTAACAAAAGTTTCCATATGTCTGAGTAAGAGTGTGAACGTAACGTTTGCAATGACTTTTCTCTTACCTTAGTGTAAAGTTCCAACAAAGCCATCTTTGAACATATTACTGTTTATGTATTGTTGTTTTTGTAATCTCTGTTGTCTATATATTTTGTTGACCACCTGCTGTGTTACTGTTTATCTCTCCGGCGACCACCGACCCTCCCTCTGGTCCCACATTCAAGTCACAGTCGGTGACACGTCCTGTTCCGGCCTTTATTTACAAAATAATAACCGGTAGTGCATTGAAAAGTGTATTAGTAAAGGTTTAAACAT